CTGCACCACCGCTGCCCCGCCAGGCACGTACATCCCGCACAAGGAGGTGGAGGTGGTGGAGTCTCTGTATGAGTGTCTGTGTGTCTGTGTGAGTGTCTGTGTGAGTGAGTGTGTGAGTCTCTGCGTGCGTGTCTGTGTGAGTGTCTGTGTGAGTGTGTCTGTGTGTATGAGTGAGTGTATGAGTGAGTCTCTGAGTGTGTGTCTGTGTGAGTGTCTGTGTGAGTGAGTCTCTGTCTGTGTGTGTGAGTGCTAACCACTGCACCACCGCTCCTCTGCCAGCCACGTACATCCCGCACAAGGAGGTGGAGGTGGTGGAGTCTCTGTGTGTGTGTGTCTGTGTGAGTGTCTGTGTGAGTGTGTGAGTGTCTGTGTGTGTGAGTGTGTGTGAGTGAGTCTCTGAGTCTCTGTGTGAGTGTGCTAACCACTGCTGTCCCTGCCAGGCACGTACATCCCGCACAAGGAGGTGGAGGTGGTGGAGTCTCTGTGTGAGTGTGTGTCTGTGTGAGTCTCTGTGTGTGTGTGTCTGTGTGAGTGTCTGTGTGAGTGTCTGTGTGAGTGTCTGTATGAGTGTGTGTTAGTGTGTGAGTGTCTGTGTGGGTGTCTGTGTGAGTGTCTGTGTGTGTGTCTGTGTGAGTGTCTGTGTGAGTGCTAACCACTGCACCACCGCTCCTCTGCCAGGCACGTACATCCCGCACAAGGAGGTGGAGGTGGTGGAGTCTCTGTGTGTGTGTCTGTGTGAGTGTATGAGTGAGTCTCTGTGTGAGTGTCTGTGTGAGTGTATGAGTGAGTCTCTGTGTGAGTGTCTGTGTGAGTCTCTGTGTGAGTCTCTGTGTGTCTGCGTGTGTCTGTGTGTGTGAGTGTGTGTGAGTGAGTCTCTGAGTCTCTGTGTGTGTGTGCTAACCACCGCTGTCCCTGCCAGGCACGTACATCCCGCACAAGGAGGTGGAGGTGGTGGAGTCTCTGTGAGTGTGTCTGTGTGAGTCTCTGTGTGTGTGTCTGTGTGAGTGTCTGTGTGAGTGAGTGTGTGAGTGTCTGTATGAGTGAGTGTGTGAGTGTGTGAGTGAGTCTCTGTGTGAGTGTGCTAACCACTGCACCACCGCTGCCCCGCCAGGCACGTACATCCCGCACAAGGAGGTGGAGGTGGTGGAGTCTCTGTGAGTCTCTGTGTGAGTCTCTGTGAGTCTCTGTGTGAGTCTCTGTGTGTGAGTGTCTGTGTGAGTCTCTGTGTGAGTCTCTGTGTGTCTGTGTGTGTGAGTGGGTGAGTGTACTAACCACTGCACCACCGCTCCTCTGCCAGCCACGTACATCCCGCACAAGGAGGTGGAGGTGGTGGAGTCTCTGTGAGTGTCTGTGTGAGTGTCTGTGTGAGTGTGTGAGTGTCTGTGTGTGTGTCTGTGTGAGTGTGTGAGTGTCTGTGTGTGTGTCTGTGTGAGTGTGTGAGTGTCTGTGTGTGTGTATGAGTGAGTGTGTGTTAGTCTGTGTGTGTGAGTGTCTGTATGAGTGAGTGTCTGTGTGTGTGTGTGTGAGTGTGCTAACCACTGCACCACCGCTCCTCTGCCAGGCACGTACATCCCGCACAAGGAGGTGGAGGTGGTGGAGTCTCTGCGTGTGTGTCTGTGTGTGTCTGTGTGAGTCTCTGTGTGAGTGAGTGTGTGAGTGTGTGTGTGAGTCTCTGTGTGTGTGTGCTAACCACTGCACCACCGCTGCCCCGCCAGCCACGTACATCCCGCACAAGGAGGTGGAGGTGGTGGAGTCTCTGTGAGTGAGTGTGTGTGAGTGTCTGTATGAGTGAGTGTGTGAGTGTATGAGTGAGTGTCTGTGTGAGTGTCTGTGTGTGTGTGCTAACCACCGCTCCTCTGCCAGCCACGTACATCCCGCACAAGGAGGTGGAGGTGGTGGAGTCTCTGTGAGTGTGTCTGTGTGAGTCTCTGTGTGAGTCTCTGTGTGAGTGTCTGTGTGAGTGAGTCTCTGTGTGTGTGAGTCTGTGTGAGTGAGTGTGTGTGTGAGTCTCTGTGTGAGTGTCTGTGTGAGTGTCTGTGTGAGTGTCTGTGTGAGTGCTAACCACTGCACCACCGCTGCCCCGCCAGGCACGTACATCCCGCACAAGGAGGTGGAGGTGGTGGAGTCTCTGTGTGTGTCTGTGTGAGTGTCTGTGTGTGTCTGTGTGAGTGTATGAGTGAGTGTCTGTGTGTGTGTCTGTGTGTGTGTCTGTGTGAGTCTCTGTGTGAGTGTATGAGTGAGTCTCTGTGTGAGTGTGTGTGTGTCTGTGTGAGTCTCTGTGTGTGTGTCTGTGTGAGTCTCTGTGTGAGTGTCTGTGTGAGTGTATGAGTGAGTGTATGAGTGAGTGTATGAGTGAGTCTCTGAGTGTCTGTGTGAGTGTATGAGTGAGTCTCTGAGTGTCTGTGTGAGTGTATGAGTGAGTCTCTGAGTGTCTGTGTGAGTGTATGAGTGAGTCTCTGAGTGTCTGTGTGTGTGTGCTAACCACTGCACCACCGCTGCCCCGCCAGGCACGTACATCCCGCACAAGGAGGTGGAGGTGGTGGAGTCTCTGTGAGTGTCTGTGTGAGTGTCTGTGTGAGTGTCTGTGTGAGTCTCTGTGTGTGTGTCTGTGTGAGTGTCTGTATGAGTGTGTGTTAGTGTGTGTGTGTCTGTGTGTGTGTGTCTGTGTGTGTGTCTGTGTGTGTGTGCTAACCACCGCTGCCCCGCCAGCCACGTACATCCCGCACAAGGAGGTGGAGGTGGTGGAGTCTCTGTGTGTGTGTCTGTGTGAGTGTCTGTGTGTGTGTCTGTGTGAGTCTCTGTGAGTGTGTGTGTGAGTCTCTGTGTGTGTGTCTGTGTGTGTGTGAGTCTCTGTGTGTGTGTGTCTGTGTGAGTGTCTGTGTGTGTGTCTGTGTGAGTGAGTGTCTGTGTGTGTGTGTCTGTGTGAGTGTGTGAGTGAGTGTCTGTATGAGTGAGTGTATGAGTGAGTGTGCTAACCACCGCTGCCCCGCCAGCCACGTACATCCCGCACAAGGGGGTGGAGGTGGTGGAGTCTCTGCGTGTGTGTCTGTGTGAGTGAGTGTGTGTGTGTCTGTGTGAGTGTCTGTGTGAGTGTGTGTTAGTGTGTGTGTGTCTGTGTGTGTGTCAGTGAGTGTGTGAGTGTCTGTGTGTATGTGTGTGTGAGTGTGCTAACCACTGCACCACCACCGCTCCTCTGCCAGCCACGTACATCCCGCACAAGGAGGTGGAGGTGGTGGAGTCTCTGTGAGTGTGTCTGTGTGAGTGAGTGTGTGAGTGTCTGTGTGAGTCTCTGTGTGAGTCTCTGTGTGAGTCTCTGTGTGTGTGTCTGTGTGAGTGTATGTGTGAGTCTCTGTGTGAGTCTCTGTGTGAGTGTCTGTGTGTGTGTCTGTGTGTGTGTGCTAACCACCGCTCCTCTGCCAGCCACGTACATCCCGCACAAGGAGGTGGAGGTGGTGGAGTCTCTGTGTGTGAGTCTGTGTGAGTCTCTGTGTGAGTCTCTGTGTGTGTCTGTGTGAGTGTCTGTGTGAGTGTCTGTGTGAGTGTGCTAACCACTGCACCACCACTGCTGCCCCGCCAGGCACGTACATCCCGCACAAGGAGGTGGAGGTGGTGGAGTCTCTGTGTGAGTGAGTGTGTGTGAGTGAGTGTGTGAGTGTCTGTGTGTGTGAGTGTCTGTGTGAGTGCTAACCACTGCACCACCGCTGCCCCGCCAGGCACGTACATCCCGCACAAGGAGGTGGAGGTGGTGGAGTCTCTGTGAGTCTCTGTGTGTGAGTGTCTGTATGAGTGAGTGTGTGAGTGTATGAGTGAGTGTATGAGTGAGTCTCTGTATGAGTGTCTGTGAGTGTGCTAACCACTGCACCACCGCTCCTCTGCCAGCCACGTACATCCCGCACAAGGAGGTGGAGGTGGTGGAGTCTCTGTGTGAGTGAGTGTCTGTGTGAGTGTCTGTGTGTGTGTCTGTGTGTGTGAGTGTGTGAGTGTCTGTGTGTGTGTGCTAACCACCGCTGTCCCTGCCAGGCACGTACATCCCGCACAAGGAGGTGGAGGTGGTGGAGTCTCTGTGAGTCTCTGTGTGTGAGTGTCTGTATGAGTGAGTGTGTGAGTGTATGAGTGAGTGTATGAGTGAGTCTCTGTATGAGTGTCTGTGAGTGTGCTAACCACTGCACCACCGCTGTCCCTGCCAGCCACGTACATCCCGCACAAGGAGGTGGAGGTGGTGGAGTCTCTGTGTGTGAGTGTGTGTGAGTCTGTGTGTGAGTGTCTGTGTGAGTGTGTGAGAGTCTGTGTGAGTGAGTGTGTGAGTCTCTGTGTGTGTGTGTGTGTGAGTGTCTGTGTGAGTGAGTGTATGAGTGAGTGTGCTAACCACCGCTGTCCCTGCCAGGCACGTACATCCCGCACAAGGAGGTGGAGGTGGTGGAGTCTCTGTGTGTGTGTGAGTGAGTGAGTGTATGTGTGAGTCTCTGTGTGTGTGTCTGTGTGAGTCTCTGTGTGTCTGTGTGTGTGAGTGGGTGAGTGTGCTAACCACTGCACCACCGCTGTCCCTGCCAGGCACGTACATCCCGCACAAGGAGGTGGAGGTGGTGGAGTCTCTGTGAGTGTCTGTGTGTGTGTGTGTGTGAGTGTCTGTGTGAGTGTCTGTATGAGTGAGTGTGCTAACCACCGCTCCTCTGCCAGGCACGTACATCCCGCACAAGGAGGTGGAGGTGGTGGAGTCTCTGTGAGAGTGAGTCTCTGTGTGAGTGCTAACCACTGCACCACCGCTGCCCCGCCAGGCACGTACATCCCGCACAAGGAGGTGGAGGTGGTGGAGTCTCTGTATGAGTGAGTCTCTGTGTGAGTGCTAACCACTGCACCACCGCTCCTCTGCCAGCCACGTACATCCCGCACAAGGAGGTGGAGGTGGTGGAGTCTCTGTGAGTGTGTGAGTGAGTGTCTGTATGAGTGTCTGTATGAGTGAGTGTGTGAGTGAGTGTGCTAACCACTGCTGTCCCCGCCAGCCACGTACATCCCGCACAAGGAGGTGGAGGTGGTGGAGTCTCTGCGTGCCACCATCGTGTTGCCCAACCACGCCGTGAAGCTGCGAGCTCGTCGCGACCTCGTGGACCGTGCCAGCAACACACGAGTGACGGGTCAGCCCACACGCAGACTCCTGCAACACGTGTGTCACTGTGTCAGTGTGTCACTGTGTGTCACTGTGTGTGTGTCAGTGTCACTGTGTGTGTGTGTGTGTGTCACTGTGTGTGTGTCAGTGTGTGTCACTGTGTCAGTGACTGTGTCAGTGTGTGTGTGTGTGTGACTGTGTGTGTCTGTGTTTGTGTGTGTGTCACTGTGTGTCTGTGTGTGACTGTGTGTGTCAATGTGTCAGTGACTGTGTCAGTGTGTGTGTCAGTGTGTGTCACTGTGTGTGTGTGACTGTGTGTGTCACTGTGTGTGTGTCACTGTGTGTGTCTGTGTGTGTGTGTGACTGTGTCAGTGTGTGTGTGTTTGTGTGTGTGTGTGTCACTGTGTGTGTCACTGTGTGTGTGTGTGTGTGACTGTGTCAGTGTGTGTGTCACTGTGTGTGTGTGACTGTGTGTGTGTGTGACTGTGTCACTGTGTGTCACTGTGTGTGTGTGTGACTGTGTGTGTGTCTGTGTGTGTGATTGTGTCTGTGTCACTGTGTGTGTGTCACTGTGTGACTGTGTGTCTGTGTGTGTGTCAGTGTCTGTGTGTCAGTGTGTGTCTGTGTGATTGTGTCTGTGTGTGTCACTTTGTCAGTGTGTGTGTGTCTGTGTGTGTGTGTGTGTCAGTGTGTGTGTGTCACTGTGTGTGTGTGTCACTGTGTGTGTGTGTGTCACTGTGTCAGTGTGTGTGTGTGTCACTGTGTGTGTGTGTGACTGTGTGTGTGTGTCTGTGTGTGTCACTGTGTGTGTGTCACTGTGTGTGTGTCAGTGTGTGTGACTGTGTGTGTCACTGTGTGTGTGTGTCACTGTGTGTGTGTGTGACTGTGTCACTGTGTGTCACTGTGTGTGTGTGTGTCTGTGTGTGTCAGTGTGTGTGACTGTGTGTGTGTGTGTGACTGTGTGTGTCAGTGTGTGTGTGACTGTGTCAGTGTGTGTGTGTGTGTGTGTGTCAGTGTGTGTGTCTGTGTTTGTGTGTGTGTCACTGTGTGTGTCTGTGTGTGACTGTGTGTGTGTGTCAGTGTGTGTGTCTGTGTTTGTGTGTGTGTCACTGTGTGTCTGTGTGTGTCTGTGTGTGTCAGTGTGTGTGTGACTGTGTGATTGTGTCTGTGTGTGTGTGACTGTGTCAGTGACTGTGTCAGTGTGTCTGTGTCAGTGTGTGTGTGTGTCACTGTGTGTGTGACTGTGTGTGTGTGACTGTGTGATTGTGTCTGTGTGTGTCTCTGTGTGTGTGTCAGTGTCTGTGTGTCAGTGTGTGTCTGTGTGTCAGTGTGTGTGTGACTGTGTGATTGTGTCTGTGTGTGTCACTTTGTCAGTGTGTGTGTGTGTGTCTGTGTGTGTCAGTGTGTGTGTCTGTGTGTGTGTCAGTGTGTGTGTGTGTCAGTGTTTGTGTGTCTGTGTGTGTGTGACTGTGTGTGTGTCTGTGTGTGTGTCAGTGTGTGTGTGTGTCACTGTGTGTGTGTGACTGTGTGATTGTGTCTGTGTGTGTCTCTGTGTGTCTGTGTGTGTGTGTGTGTCACTGTGTGTATCAGTGTGTGTCTGTGTGTGCTTGTGTGTGTGTCAGTGTGTGTCTGTGTGTGTCTGTGTGTGAGTGTCAGTGTGTGTGTCAGTGTGTGTGTGTGTCAGTGTGTCTGTGTGTGTCTCTGTGTCAGTGTGTGTGTGTCAGTGTGTGTGTCAGTGTGTGTGTGTGTGTGTCAGTGTGTGTCTGTGTGTGTCTCTGTGTCAGTGTGTGTGTGTCAGTGTGTGTGTCAGTGTGTGTGTCACTGTGTGTGACTGTGTGTGTGTGACTGTGTCAGTGACTGTGTCAGTGTGTGTGTGTGTGTCTGTGTGTGTGTGTCAGTGTGTGTGTGTGTGTCACTGTGTGTGACTGTGTGACTGTGTGTGTGTCACTGTGTGTGTGTGTGTCTGTGTGTGTGTCACTGTGTGTGTCAGTGTGTGTGTCAGTGTGTGTGTGTCAGTGTGTGTGTGTGTTTGTGTGTGTGTCTGTGTGTGTGTGTGTGACTGTGTGTGTCAGTGTGTGTGTGTGTCTGTGTGTGTGTGACTGTGTGTATCTGTGTGTGTGTCAGTGTGTGTGTGTGTGTCTGTGTGTGTTTGTGTGTGTGTGTCTGTGTGTGTGTGTGTGACTGTGTGTGTCAGTGTGTGTGTGTGTCTGTGTGTGTGTGACTGTGTGTGTCAGTGTGTGTGTGTGTGTCTGTGTGTGTTTGTGTGTGTGTGTCAGTGTGTGTGTGTGTGTCAGTGTGTGTGTGTGTCTGTGTGTGTGTGTCTGTGTGTGTGTGGCTGTGTGTGTGTGTCTGTGTGTGTGTGTCAGTGTGTCTCTGTGTGTGTGTGTGTGTCACTGTGTCAGTGTGTGTGTGTTTGTGTGTGTCAGTGTGTGTCTGTGTGTGTCAGTGTGTGTCACTGTGTGTGTGTCACTGTGTCAGTGTGTGTGTGTGTCAGTGTGTGTGTGTGTCAGTGTGTGTGTGTGTCAGTGTGTGTGTCTCTGTGTCTGTGTGTGTGTGTCTGTGTGTGTGTGTGTCTGAGTGTGTGTGTATGTGTGTGTGTTTGTGTGTGTGTCAATGTGTGTGTGTGTCAGTGTGTGTCTGTGTGTGTCACTGTGTGTGTCAGTGTGTGTGTCACTGTGTCAGTGTGTGTGTGTGTCAGTGTCTGTGTCAGTGTGTGTGTCAGTGTGTGTGTCAGTGTGTGTGTCTGTGTGTGTCAGTGTGTGTGTGTGTGTGTCAGTGTGTGTGTGTGTGTCAGTGTGTGTGTGTGTGTGTCACTGTGTCAGTGTCTGTGTGTGTCAGTGTGTGTGTCACTGTGTGTGTGTATGTGTCACTGTGTCAGTGTGTGTGTGTGTGTCAGTGTGTGTGTGTCACTGTGTCAGTGTGTGTGTGTCAGTGTGTGTGTCAGTGTGTGTGTGTCACTGTGTGTGTCAGTGTGTGTGTCAGTGTGTGTGTCAGTGTGTGTGTGTGTGTGTCACTGTGTCAGTGTGTGTGTGTGTCTGTGTGTGTGTGTCAGTGTCTGTGTGTGTGTGTCAGTGTGTGTCTGTGTGTGTGTGTCACTGTGTGTGTGTGTGTCTGTGTGTGTGTGTCTGTGTGTGTGTGTCTGTGTGTGTGTCAGTGTCAGTGTCTGTGTGCGTGTGTGTCACTGTGTCAGTGTCTGTGTGTCTGTGTGTGTGTCAGTGTGTGTGTGTGTGTCAGTGTGTGTGTGTCTGTGTGTGTCAGTGTGTGTGTCTGTGTATGTGTCAGTGTGTGTGTGTGTGTGTCAGTGTGTGTGTCTGTGTGTGTGTGTCTGTGTGTATGTCTGTGTGTATGTCTGTGTGTGTGTGTCAGTGTGTGTGTTTGTCTGTGTGTGTGTCAGTATGTGTGAGTGTGTGTGTAGTGTAGCGGGTAGCGCTACGCTGCACTACGAACCCGGCGATTCCCGCTCACGGCCAACACCGCCGGTGACGATTCTCTGAACCGGTCCTGGGCCTCCCCTAGGTCGACTCAGCCTCAAACGAGCAGTAGCTGGTGTAGCGGTGGTGTAGTAGTGGTGGTGTAGTAGTGGTGGTGTAGTAGCGGTGGTGTAATAGTGGTGGTGGTGTAGTAGTGGTGGTGGTGTAGTAGTAGTGGTGTATTAGTAGTGGTGTAGTAGCGGTGGTGTAGTGGTGGTGTAGTAGTAGTGGTGGTGTAATAGTGGTGGTGGTGTAGTAGTGGTGTAGTAGTGGTGGTGTGGTAGTGGTGGTGGTGTAGTAGTAGTGGTGTAGTAGTGGTGTAGTAGTGGTGGTGTGGTAGTGGTGTAGTAGTAGTGGTGTAGTAGTGGTGGTGTAGTACTGGTGGTGTAATAGTGGTGGTGTAGTAGCGGTGGTGTAGTAGTAGTGTAGTAGTAGTGGTGGTGGTGTAGTAGTGGTGTAGTAGCGGTGGTGTAGTAGCGGTGGTGTAGTAGTGGTGGTGTAGTGGTGGTGTAGTAGTAGTGGTGGTGTAATAGTGGTGGTGGTGTAGTAGTAGTGGTGGTGTAGTAGTAGTGGTGTATTAGTAGTGGTGTAGTAGCGGTGGTGTAGTAGCAGTGGTGTAGTAGTGGTGGTGTAGTGGTGGTGTAGTAGTAGTGGTGGTGTAATAGTGGTGGTGGTGTAGTAGTGGTGGTGGTGTAGTAGTAGTGGTGTATTAGTAGTGGTGTAGTAGCGGTGGTGTAGTGGTGGTGTAGTAGTAGAGGTGGTGTAATAGTGGTGGTGTAGTAGTAGTGGTGGTGTAGTGGTGGTGTGGTAGTGGTGGTGGTGTAGTAGTAGTGGTGTAGTAGTGGTGTAGTAGTGGTGGTGTGGTAGTGGTGTAGTAGTGGTGGTGTGGTAGTGGTGTAGTAGTAGTGGTGTAGTAGTGGTGGTGTAGTACTGGTGGTGTAGTAGTGGTGGTGTAGTAGTGGTGTTGTAGTAGTGGTGGTGTAGTAGTGGTGTGCTGGTAGTGTAGTAGTAGTGGTAGTGGTGGTGGTGTAGTAGTGGTGTAGTGGTGGTGGTGTAGTAGTGGTGGTGTAGTAGTGGTGGTGTACTGGTGTAGTTGTAGTGGTGTACTGGTGTAGTAGTAGTGGTGGTGTAGTAGTGGTGGTGTAGTAGTGGTGGTGTAGTAGTGGTGGTGTACTGGTGTAGTAGTGGTGGTGTACTGGTGTAGTAGTGGTGGTGGTGTAGTGGTGGTGTAGTAGTGGTGGTGTAGTAGTGGTGGTGTAGTAGTGGTGTAGTAGTGGTGGTGTAGTAGTGGTGGTGTACTGGTGTAGTAGTGGTGGTGTACTGGTGTAGTAGTAGTGGTGGTGTAGTAGTGGCGGTGTAGTAGTGGTGGTGTAGTAGTGGTGGTGTAGTAGTAGTGGTGTAGTAGTGGTGGTGGTGTAGTAGTACTGGTGGTGTAGTAGTAGTGGTGGTGTAGTAGTGGTGGTGTAGTAGTGGTGTTGTAGTAGTGGTGGTGTAGTAGTGGTGTGCTGGTAGTGTAGTAGTAGTGGTGGTGGTGTAGTAGTGGTGTAGTGGTGGTGGTGTAGTAGTGGTGGTGTAGTAGTGGTGGTGTACTGGTGTAGTAGTAGTGGTGTACTGGTGTAGTAGTAGTGGTGGTGTAGTAGTGGTGGTGTAGTAGTGGTGGTGTAGTAGTGGTGGTGTAGTAGTGGTGGTGTACTGGTGTAGTAGTGGTGGTGTACTGGTGTAGTAGTAGTGGTGGTGTAGTAGTGGTGGTGTAGTAGTGGTGGTGTAGTAGTGGTGTAGTAGTGGTGGTGTAGTAGTGGTGGTGGTGTAGTAGTAGTGGTGGTGTAGTAGTGGTGGTGTAGTAGTGGTGGTGGTGTAGTAGTGGTGGTGTAGTGTTGGTGGTGTAGTGGTGGTGGTGTAGTAGTAGTGGTGTAGTAGTGGTGGTGTAGTAGTAGTGGTGGTGTAGTAGTGGTGGTGTAGTAGTGGTGGTGTAGTAGTGGTGGTGTAGTAGTGGTGGTGTAGTAGTAGTGGTGTAGTAGTGGTGGTGTAGTAGTGGTGGTGGTGTAGTAGTGGTGGTGTAGTGTTGGTGGTGTAGTGGTGGTGGTGTAGTAGTAGTGGTGTAGTAGTGGTGGTGTAGTAGTGGTGGTGGTGTAGTAGTGGTGGTGTAGTAGTGGTGGTGTAGTAGTGGTGGTGTAGTAGTGGTGGTGTAGTAGTAGTGGTGTAGTAGTGGTGGTGGTGTAGTAGTAGTGGTGTAGTAGTAGTAGTAGTGGTGTAGTAGTGGTGGTGTACTGGTGTAGTAGTGGTGGTGTACTGGTGTAGTAGTAGTGGTGGTGTAGTAGTGGTGGTGTAGTAGTGGTGGTGTAGTAGTGGTGGTGTAGTAGTAGTGGTGTAGTAGTGGTGGTGGTGTAGTAGTAGTGGTGGTGTAGTAGCAGTGGTGGTGTAGTAGTGGTGGTGTAGTAGTGGTGTTGTAGTAGTGGTGGTGTAGTAGTGGTGGTGTAGTAGTGGTGTGCTGGTAGTGTAGTAGTAGTGGTGGTGGTGTAGTAGTGGTGTAGTGGTGGTGGTGTAGTGGTGGTGGTGTAGTAGTGGTGGTGTAGTAGTGGTGGTGTACTGGTGTAGTAGTAGTGGTGTACTGGTGTAGTAGTAGTGGTGGTGTAGTAGTGGTGGTGTAGTAGTGGTGGTGTAGTAGTGGTGGTGTAGTAGTGGTGGTGTACTGGTGTAGTAGTGGTGGTGTACTGGTGTAGTAGTAGTGGTGGTGTAGTAGTGGTGGTGTAGTAGTGGTGGTGTAGTAGTGGTGGTGTAGTAGTAGTGGTGTAGTAGTGGTGGTGGTGTAGTAGTAGTGGTGGTGTAGTGGTGGTGTAGTAGTGGTGGTGTAGTAGTGGTGGTGTAGTAGTAGTGGTGGTGTAGTGGTGGTGTAGTAGTGGTGGTGTAGTAGTGGTGGTGTAGTAGTGGTGGTGTAGTAGTGGTGGTGTAGTAGTGGTGGTGTAGTAGTGGTGGTGGTATAGTAGTGGTGGTGTAGTGTTGGTGGTGTAGTGGTGGTGGTGTAGTAGTAGTGGTGTAGTAGTGGTGGTGTAGTAGTGGTGGTGGTGTAGTAGTGGTGGTGTAGTAGTGGTGGTGTAGTAGTGGTGGTGTAGTAGTGGTGGTGTAGTAGTGGTGGTGTAGTAGTGGTGGTGTAGTAGTGGTGGTGTAGTAGTAGTGGTGTAGTAGTGGTGGTGTAGTGGTGGTGTAGTAGTGGTGGTGTAGTAGTGGTGGTGTAGTAGTGGTGGTGTAGTAGTAGTGGTGGTGTAGTAGTGGTGGTGTAGTAGTGGTGGTGGTGTAGTGGTGGTGTAGTAGTGGTGGTGTAGTAGTGGTGGTGTAGTAGTAGTGGTGTAGTGGTGGTGGTGTAGTAGTGGTGGTGTAGTAGTGGTGTAGTAGTGGTGGTGTAGTAGTAGTGGTGTACTGGTGGTGTAGTAGTGCAGGGAACATCGCTAGCACTGGGGGAGAGACAAAGGCGGCCGGGCGTGGTGGTCCTGACCACCCACCCCCTCTGTGTGTGTAGCCACAGTGCCGGTAGCCTTCATAGACGCTGCTGCTACTGCTACTAACACAGCACTTGCCCCTACAGCCTGCTACAGGCTACCTGGGGGAGCTTTGTGTCTATAGGCACTGCTGCTACTAACAGCACTTGCCCCTACAGCCTGCTACAGACTACCTGGGGGAGCTTTGTGTCTATAGGCACTGCTGCTACTAACAGCACTTGCCCCTACAGCCTGCTACAGACTACCTGGGGGAGCTTTGTCGTTGTGTATACGGGTGAACGGGTGGGGTGAGATTGTAGGTGAGTGAGTGGGTGGGTGGGTGAGTGAGTGAGTGGGTGAGTGAGTGGGTGAGTGAGTGAGTAGGTGAGTGCGTGGGTAGGTGAGTGAGTGGGTGAATGGGTGAGTGGGCGGGTGAGTGGTTAAGTGAGTGAGTGAGTGGGTGAGTGAGTGAGTGTGTGAATGGGTGAGTTAGTGGGTGAGTGAGTGAGTGAGTGGGTGAGTGGGTGAGTGAGTGGGTGGGTGATTGAGTGAGTGAGTGGGTGAGTGAGTGAGTGGGTGAGTGGGTGGGTGAGTGAGTGGGTGGGTGAGTGAGTAGGTGAGTGAGTGGGTGAATGGGTGAGTGAGTGGGTGAGTGGGTGAGTGAGTGAGTGGGTGAGTGAGTAGGTGAATGGGTGAGTGAGTGAGTGGGTGATTGAGTGAGAGCGTGGCTGAGTGGGTGAGTGAGTGAGTGGGTGAGTGAGTGAGTGAGTGGGTGAGTGAGTGGGTGAGTGAGTAGGTGAGTGAGTGAGTGACTGAGTGGGTGAGTGAGTGGGTGACGAGGTGAGGCTCGCTCACCAGGTGAGGAGTGGTTATGGAGGAAGCTCGGCGCTTACCTCCCTGGCGCATATGAGGAGGTGGTGGAGATCGTCTCAGCTCACATCCTCACCGACAAGGTGAGCACCACCACCACCACTCACCACCACTCACCACCACTCATCACCACACCCACCACCACCACTCACCACCACCACCACTCATCACCACACTCACCACCACTCACCACCACTCACCACTCACCACCACACACCACCACCACCACTCACCACCACCACACTCACCACCACTCACCACCACCACTAACCACCACCACTCACCACCACACACCACCACCACTCATCACCACCACCACCACACTCACCACCACTCACCACCACCACTAACCACCACCACTCACCACCACACACCACCACCACTCATCACCACCACCACCACACTCACCACCACTCACCACCACTACTCACCACCACTCACCACCACCACCACACTCACCACCACTCACCACTCACCCTCACACTCACCACCACACTCACCACCACTCACCACCACCACCGCACTCACCACCACCCCCACCACCACTACACTCACCACCACTCACCACCACCACACTCACCACCACTCACCACCACCACACTCACCACCACTCACCACCACCACACTCACCACCACTCACCACCACCACACTCACCACCACTAACCACCACCACACTCACCACACTCACCACCACTCACCACCACCACACTCACCACCACTCACCACCACACTCACACCACTCACCACCAGCACTCACCACCACACTCACCACCACTCATCACCACACACCACCACCACTCACCACCACTCACCACCACTCACCACCACCACACTCACCACCACCACACTCACCACCACTCACCACCACACACCACCACCACCACCACACTCACCACCACTCACCACCACCACCACCACCACTCACCACCACTACTACACCACCACTCACCACCACTCACCACCACCACTCACCACCACACACCACCACCACCACTCACCACCACCACTCACCACCACTCACCACCACACACCACCACCACTCACCACCACCACTCACCACCACTCACCACCACACACCACCACCACTCACCACCACTCACCACCACACTCACCACCACACTCACCACCACCACCACTCACCACCACCACACTCACCACCACTCACCACCACCACCACTCACCACCACCACTCACCACCACACTCACCACCACTCACCACCACCACCACTCACCACCACACTCACCACCACTACACTGACCACCACACTCACCACCACCACCACCACTACACTCACCCCCCCACACTCACCACCACCACCACTCAGCACCACCACACTCACCACCACACTCACCACTCACCACCCCCCCACACTCACCACCACCACCACTCACCACCACCACTCACCACCATCACTCACCACCACCCACACTCACTCACCACCACCACCACCACTCACCACCACTCACCACCACACACCACCACCACCACTCACCACCACCACTCACCACCACCACTCACCACCACACTCACCACCACACTCACCACCAGCACTCACCACCACACTCACCACCACTCACCACCACCACTCACCACCACTCACCACCACCACCACCACTCACCACCACCACACACCACCACCACCACCACTCACCACCACACACCACCACCACTCACCACCACACACCACCACCACCACTCACCACCACTAACCACCACCACTCACCACCACCACTCACCACCACCACTCACCACCACACACCACCACTCACCACCACACTCACCACCACCACTAACCACCACACTCACCACCACTCACCACCACACACACCACCACCACTCACCACCACCACTCACCACCACACTCACCACCACTCACCACCACTCACCACCACCACCACTCACCACCACCACTCACCACCACACTCACCACCACCACACTCACCACCACTCGCCACCACCACCACTACTCACCACCACTCACCACCACCACCACTCACCACCACACACCACCACCACTCACCACCACCACACTCACCACACTCACCACCACTACTCACCACCACTCACCACCACCACTCACCACCACTCACCACCACTCACCACCACCACTCACCACCACCACCACCACTCACCACCACCACACACCACCACCACCACTCACCACCACACACCACCACCACTCACCACCACACACCACCACCACCACTCACCACCACTAACCACCACACTCACCACCACCACTCACCACCACCACTCACCACCACACACCACCACTCACCACCACACTCACCACCACACTCACCACCACCACTAACCACCACACTCACCACCACTCACCACCACCACTCACCACCACCACACACCACCACACACACCACCACTCACCACCACTCACCACCACCACCACTCCCCACCACCACTCACCACCACACTCACCACCACCACACTCACCACCACTCGCCACCACCACCACTACTCACCACCACTCACCACCACCACCACTCACCACCACACACCACCACCACTCACCACCACCACACTCACCACACTCACCACCACTACTCACCACCACTCACCACCACTCACCACCACCACTCACCACCACTCACCACCACACACCACCACACACCACCACCACACTCACCACCTCTCGCCACCACCACCACACTCACCACCACTCACCACCACCACCACTCACCACCACCACTCCCCACCACACTCACCACCACTCACCACCACCACCACTCACCACCACACTCACCACCACTACACTGACCACCACACTCACCACCACCACCACCACTACACTCACCCCCCCACACTCACCACCACCACCACTCAGCACCACCACACTCACCACCACTCACCACCACCACCACTCACCACCACCACTCACCACCACACTCACCACCACTCACCACCACCACCACTCACCACCACACTCACCACCACTACACTGACCACCACACTCACCACCACCACCACCACTACACTCACCCCCCCACACTCACCACCACCACCACTCAGCACCACCACACTCACCACCACACTCACCACTCACCACCCCCCCACACTCACCACCACCACCACTCACCACCACCACTCACCACCATCACTCACCACCACCCACACTCACTCACCACCACCACCACCACTCACCACCACTCACCACCACACACCACCACCACCACTAACCACCACCACACACCACCACCACACACCACCACACTCACCACCACACTCACCACCAGCACTCACCACCACACTCACCACCACTCACCACCACCACTCACCACCACTCACCACCACCACCACCACTCACCACCACCACACACCACCACCACCACCACTCACCACCACACACCACCACCACACACCACCACACACCACCACCACCACACACCACCACTAACCACCACACTCACCACCACCACTCACCACCACCACTCACCACCACACACCACCACTCACCACCACACTCACCACCACCACTAACCACCACACTCACCACCACTCACCACCACCACTCACCACCACCACTCACCACCACACTCACCACCACTCACCACCACTCACCACCACCACCACTCACCACCACCACTCACCACCACACGCACCACCCCCACACTCACCACCACTCGCCACCACCACCACTACTCACCACCACTCACCACCACCACCACTCACCACCACACACCACCACCACTCACCACCCCCACACTCACCACACTCACCACCACTACTCACCACCACTCACCACCACCACTCACCACCACTCACCACCACTCACCACCACCACTCACCACCACCACCACCACTCACCACCACCACACACCACCACCACCACTCACCACCACACACCACCACCACTCACCACCACACACCACCACCACCACTCACCACCACTAACCACCACACTCACCACCACCACTCACCACCACCACTCACCACCACACACCACCACTCACCACCACACTCACCACCACACTCACCACCACCACTAACCACCACACTCACCACCACTCACCACCACCACTCACCACCACCACTCACCACCACACTCACCACCACTCACCACCACTCACCACCACCACCACTCACCACCACCACTCACCACCACACTCACCACCACCACACTCACCACCACTCGCCACCACCACCACTACTCACCACCACTCACCACCACCACCACTCACCACCACACACCACCACCACTCACCACCACCACACTCACCACACTCACCACCACTACTCACCACCACTCACCACCACTCACCACCACCACTCACCACCACTCACCACCACACACCACCACACACCACCACCACACTCACCACCTCTCGCCACCACCACCACACTCACCACCACTCACCACCACCACCACTCACCACCACCACTCACCACCACACTCACCACCACTCACCACCACCACCACTCACCACCACACTCACCACCACTACACTGACCACCACACTCACCACCACCACCACCACTACACTCACCCCCCCACACTCACCACCACCACCACTCAGCACCACCACACTCACCACCACTCACCACCACCACCACTCACCACCACCACTCACCACCACACTCACCACCACTCACCACCACCACCACTCACCACCACACTCACCACCACTACACTGACCACCACACTCACCACCACCACCACCACTACACTCACCCCCCCACACTCACCACCACCACCACTCAGCACCACCACACTCACCACCACACTCACCACTCACCACCCCCCCACACTCACCACCACCACCACTCACCACCACCACTCACCACCATCACTCACCACCACCCACACTCACTCACCACCACCACCACCACTCACCACCACTCACCACCACACACCACCACCACCACTCACCACCACCACTCACCACCCCCACTCACCACCACACTCACCACCACCACCACTCACCACCACCACTCACCACCACACTCACCACCACCACACTCACCACCACTCGCCACCACCACCACTACTCACCACCACTCACCACCACCACCACTCACCACCACACACCACCACCACTCACCACCACCACACTCACCACACTCACCACCACTACTCACCACCACTCACCACCACCACTCACCACCACTCACCACCACTCACCACCACCACTCACCACCACCACCACCACTCACCACCACCACACACCACCACCACCACTCACCACCACACACCACCACCACTCACCACCACACACCACCACCACCACTCACCACCACTAACCACCACACTCACCACCACCACTCACCACCACCACTCACCACCACACACCACCACTCACCACCACACTCACCACCACACTCACCACCACCACTAACCACCACACTCACCACCACTCACCACCACCACTCACCACCACCACTCACCACCACACTCACCACCACTCACCACCACTCACCACCACCACCACTCACCACCACCACGCACCACCACACTCACCACCACCACACTCACCACCACTCGCCACCACCACCACTACTCACCACCACTCACCACCACCACCACTCACCACCACACACCACCACCACTCACCACCACCACACTCACCACACTCACCACCACTACTCACCACCACTCACCACCACTCACCACCACCACTCACCACCACTCACCACCACACACCACCACACACCACCACCACACTCACCACCTCTCGCCACCACCACCACACTCACCACCACTCACCACCACCACCACTCACCACCACCACTCACCACCACACTCACCACCACTCACCACCACCACCACTCACCACCACACTCACCACCACTACACTGACCACCACACTCACCACCACCACCACCACTACACTCACCCCCCCACACTCACCACCACCACCACTCAGCACCACCACACTCACCACCACACACCACCACCACCACTCACCACCACCACTCACCACCACACTCACCACCACTCACCACCACCACCACTCACCACCACACTCACCACCACTACACTGACCACCACACTCACCACCACCACCACCACTACACTCACCCCCCCACACTCACCACCACCACCACTCAGCACCACCACACTCACCACCACACTCACCACTCACCACCCCCCCACACTCACCACCACCACCACTCACCACCACCACTCACCACCATCACTCACCACCACCCACACTCACTCACCACCACCACCACCACTCACCACCACTCACCACCACACACCACCACCACCACTCACCACCACCACTCACCACCACCACTCACCACCACACTCACCACCACACTCACCACCAGCACTCACCACCACACTCACCACCACTCACCACCACCACTCACCACCACTCACCACCACCACCACCACTCACCACCACCACACACCACCACCACCACCACACACCACCACACACCACCACCACTCACCACCACACACCACCACCACCACTCACCACCACTAACCACCACACTCACCACCACCACTCACCACCACCACTCACCACCACACACCACCACTCACCACCACACTCACCACCACCACTAACCACCACACTCACCACCACTCACCACCACACTCACCACCACCACTCACCACCACCACTCACCACCACACTCACCACCACTCACCACCACTCACCACCACCACCACTCACCACCACCACTCACCACCACACTCACCACCACCACACTCACCACCACTCGCCACCACCACCACTACTCACCACCACTCACCACCACCACCACTCACCACCACACACCACCACCACTCACCACCACCACACTCACCACACTCACCACCACTACTCACCACCACTCACCACCACCACTCACCACCACTCACCACCACTCACCACCACCACTCACCACCACCACCACCACTCACCACCACCACACACCACCACCACCACTCACCACCACACACCACCACCACTCACCACCACACACCACCACCACCACTCACCACCACTAACCACCACACTCACCACCACCACTCACCACCACCACTCACCACCACACACCACCACTCACCACCACACTCACCACCACCACTAACCACCACACTCACCACCACTCACCACCACACTCACCACCACCACTCACCACCACCACGCACCACCACACTCACCACCACTCACCACCACTCACCACCACCACCACTCACCACCACCACTCACCACCACACTCACCACCACCACACTCACCACCACTCGCCACCACCACCACTACTCACCACCACTCACCACCACCACCACTCACCACCACACACCACCACCACTCACCACCACCACACTCACCACACTCACCACCACTACTCACCACCACTCACCACCACCACTCACCACCACTCACCACCACTCACCACCACCACTCACCACCACCACCACCACTCACCACCACCACACACCACCACCACCACTCACCACCACACACCACCACCACTCACCACCACACACCACCACCACCACTCACCACCACTAACCACCACACTCACCACCACCACTCACCACCACCACTCACCACCACACACCACCACTCACCACCACACTCACCACCACACTCACCACCACCACTAACCACCACACTCACCACCACTCACCACCACCACTCACCACCACCACTCACCACCACCACTCACCACCACACTCACCACCACTCACCACCACTCACCACCACCACCACTCACCACCACCACTCACCACCACACTCACCACCACCACACTCACCACCACTCGCCACCACCACCACTACTCACCACCACTCACCACCACCACCACTCACCACCACACACCACCACCACTCACCACCACCACACTCACCACACTCACCACCACTACTCACCACCACTCACCACCACTCACCACCACCACTCACCACCACTCACCACCACACACCACCACACACCACCACCACACTCACCACCTCTCGCCACCACCACCACACTCACCACCACTCACCACCAATCACCACCACTCACCACCACACTGACACCACTCACCACCACCACACTCACCACCACACTCACCACCAATCACCACCACACTGACACCGCTCACCACCACCACTCACCACCACACGCCACCACCACTCACCAGCACTCACCACCACTCACCACCACACTCACCAGCACTCACCACCACTCACCACCACACTCACCACTCACCACCACACACCACTACCACTCACCACCACTCACCACACTCACCACCACTCACCACCACTCACCACCACCACACTCACCACCACCACACTCACCACCACTCACCACCACTCACCACCACCACTCACCACCACACAACACCACCACACACCACACTCACCACCACACTCACCACCACTCACCACCACACACCACCACCACCACCACTCACCACCACCACACTCACCACACTCACCACCACTCACCACCACCACTAACCACCACCACTCACCACCACACACCACTACCACTCATCACCACCACCACCACTCACCACCACCACTCACCACCACTCACCACCACCACCACTCACCACCACCACTCACCACCACTCACCACCACTCACCACCACCACTAACCACCACCACTAACCACCACACACCACCACCACTCATCACCACCACCACCACACTCACCACCACTCACCACCACACACCACCACCACTCACCACCACACTCACCACCACTCACCACCACCACACTCACCACCACCACACTCACCACCACTCACCACCACACTCACACAACTCACCACACACCACCACCACTCACCACCACCACACTCACCACCACCACACTCACCACCACTCACCACCACCCTCACACCACTCACCACCACCACCAGCACTCACCACCACACTCACCACCACTCACCAATACTCACCACCACCACTCACCACCACCACTCACCACCACCACCCACACTCACCACCCACACTCACCACCCCCACCACCACCACCACACTCACTCACCACTCACCACCACTCACCACCACACACCACCACTCACCACCACCACCACTCACCACCACCACTACACTCACCACCCCACCCCCCACCACACTCACCCCCCACCCCCCACCCCCCACCCACCCCACCCACCCACCACCCCCCACCCCCCACAGAAAGCGCTCCACGTGCGAGCCACTCGCTCCTTCACCTCGGCGGAGGCTGGGGCCGGGCCCTCTGGGCCGGCACGGCGCTGTGGTGAGGAGTGGCTCGTGAGCTGTGCCCAGACGGACAGTTTCATCCCTGGCGTGCACGAGGAGGTGGTGAGCGAGGTGGACATCACCACGCTCACACGGCGACAGTATTGTGTCCTCGTCAACCCCGTCGGGAGGGACGGAAAACCACAGCTGGGCCACAAGCTGCTGGTCAAGGTTACTCGCTCACTAGCTCGCTCGCTAACGTACTCACTCGCTCACTAGCTCGCTCGCTAACGTACTCACTCGCTCGCTCGCCCACTCGCTCGCTCACTCACTCACTCATTCAGTCGCTCGCTCACTCGCTCACTTACTCACCCGCTCGCTCGTTCGCTCACTCGCCGGTTCACTCACTCGCTCACTCGCTCACTCGCTCACTCACTCGCTCGCTCACTCACTCGCTCGCTTACCCGCTCGCTCGCTCGCTCACTCACTGACTCATTCAGTCGCTCGCTCACTCGCTCACTCACTCACTCGCTCACTCGCTCACTCACTCGCTCGCTCACTCACTCACTCGCTCACTCGCTCACTCACTCACTCACTCGCCGGTTCACTCACTCACTCGCTCACTCACTCGCTCGCTCGCCCACTCGCTCGCTCACTCACTGACTCATTCAGTCGCTCACTCACTCACTTACTCACTCATTCACTCGCTCACTCACTCACTCGCTCACTCACTCACTCGCTCACTCGCTCACTCACTCACTCACTCGCCGGTTCACTCACTCACTAGCTCACTCACTCGCTCACTCACTCACCCGCTCACTCACTCGCTCACTCACTCACTCGCTCACTCACTAGCTCGCTCACTCGCTCACTCACCGGTTCACTCACTCACTAGCTCACTCACTCGCTCACTCACTCACTCGCTCACTTACTCACTCACTCACTCGTTCACTCACTCACTCACTCGCTCACTCACTCACTCGCCCACCCGCTCGCTCGCTCACTCACTCGCTCGCCCGCTCACTCGCTCACTCACTCACTCACTCGCTCACTCGTTCACTCACTCACTCGCTCACTCACTCACTCACCCGCTCGCTCGTTCGCTCACTAGCTCGCTCACTCACCTGCTCGCTCGTTCGCTCACTAGCTCGCTCACTCACTTACTCACTCACTCACTCGCTCACTCACTCACTCACTCATCCGCTCACTCACTCACTCAGTAGCTCACTCACTCACTCGCTCACTCACTCACTCACTCACTCACTCGCTCACTCACTCACTCACTCGCTCGCTCGTTCGCTCACTCACTCACTCACCCGCTCGCTCGTTCGCTCACTAGCTCGCTCACTCACTTACTCACTCACTCGCCCACCCGCTCGCTCACTAACGTACTCACTCACTCACTCATCCGCTCGCCGGTTCACTCACTCACTCGCTCACTCACTTACTCACTCAATAGCTCGCTCGCTCACCCGCTAGCTCACTCGCCGGTTCACTCACTTACTCACTCACTCACTCACTTGCTCACTTACTCACTCACTCACTCGCTCACTCACTCGCTCGCTCGCTCACTCACTCACTCACTCGCTCACTTACTCACTCGCTCGCTCACTCGCTCACTCACTCGCTCACTCACTCACCCGCTCACTCACTCACTCACCACTCACTCACTCACTCGCTCACTCACTCAGTAGCTCACTCACTCACTCGCTCACTCACTCACTCACTCGCTCACTCACTCGCTCGCTCGCTCACTCACTCACTCACTCGCTCACTCGCTCACTCACTCGCTCGCTCACTTACTCACTCACTCGCTCACTCACTCACTCACCCACCCACTCACTCGCTCACTCACTCACTTATTCACTCACTCGCTCACTCAGTCACTCACTCAGTCACTCACTCAGTTACTTACTCACTCACTCACTCACTTGCTCACTCACTTGCTCACTCGCTCACTCACTCACTCACTCGCTCGCTCACTCACTCGCTCGCTCGCTCACCCACTCACTTGCTCACTCGCTCACTCACTCACCCACTCACTCACTCACACACTCGCTCACTCACTCACTCACTTGCTCACTCACTCACTCACACACTCACTCACTCACTCGCTCACTCACTCACTCGCTCGCTCGCTCAATCACTCACTAGCTCACTCACTCACTCACTCGCTCGCTCACTCACTCACTCACTCGCTCACTCACTCACTCGCTGACTCATTCAGTTGCTCGCTCACTCACTCACTCACCCACCCACTCACTCACTCACTCGCTCACTCACTCACTCACCCACCCACTCACTCACTCGCTCACCCACCCACTCACTCACTCACTCACTAGCTCACTCACTCACTTGCTCACTCACTCACACACTCACTCACTTGCTCGCTCGCTCACTCGCTCACTCACTCACTCACTCACTTGCTCACTCACTCGCTCACCCACTCACTCACTCACTCGCTCACTCACTCACTCACTTGCTCACTCACTCACTCGCTCACTCACTCACTCACTCGCTCACTCACTCACTCACTCGCTCACTCACTCACTCACTTGCTCGCTCGCTAACTCACTCACAATGTCGTTGTAGTTTACAATGTTGTTGTTGTTGTTTACAATGTTGTTGTTGTTGTTTATAATGTTGTTGTTTACAATGTTGTTGTTGTTTACAATGTTGTTGTTGTTGTAGTTTACATGTTGTTGTTGTTTACAATGTTGTTGTTGTTGTTTACAATGTTGTTGTTGTTGTTTACAATGTTGTTGTTGTTGTTGTTTACAATGTTGTTGTTGTTTACAATGTTGTTGTTGTTTACAATGTTGTTGTTTACAATGTTGTTGTTGTTGTTTACAATGTTGTTGTTGTTGTTGTTTACAATGTTGTTGTTGTTGTTTACAATGTTGTTGTTGTTGTTTACAATGTTGTTGTTTACAATGTTGTTGGTGTTTGTTGTTGTTGTTGTTGTTTACAATGTTGTTGTTGTTTACAATGTTGTTGGTGTTTGTTGTTGTTGTTTACAATGTTGTTGTTGTTGTTTACAATGTTGTTGTTGTTGTTTACATGTTGTTGTTGTTGTTTACAATGTTGTTGTTGTTTACAATGTTGTTGTTTACAATGTTGTTGGTGTTTGTTGTTGTTGTTGTTTACAATGTTGTTGTTGTTTACAATGTTGTTGGTGTTTGTTGTTGTTGTTTACAATGTTGTTGTTGTTGTTTACAATGTTGTTGTTGTTTGTTGTTGTTGTTGTTTACAATGTTGTTGTTGTTGTTTACATGTTGTTGTTGTTGTTTACAATGTTGTTGTTGTTTACAATGTTGTTGTTTACAATGTTGTTGGTGTTTGTTGTTGTTGTTGTTTACAATGTTGTTGTTGTTTACAATGTTGTTGGTGTTTGTTGTTGTTGTTGTTTACAATGTTGTTGTTGTTTACAATGTTGTTGTTGTTTACAATGTTGTTGTTGTTGTTTACAATGTTGTTGTTGTTGTTTACAATGTTGTTGTTGTTGTTTACAATGTTGTTGTTGTTGTTTACATGTTGTTGTTGTTTACAATGTTGTTGTTGTTTACAATGTTGTTGTTTACAATGTTGTTGGTGTTTGTTGTTGTTGTTGTTGTTTACAATGTTGTTGTTGTTTACAATGTTGTTGGTGTTTGTTGTTGTTGTTGTTTACAATGTTGTTGTTGTTGTTTACAATGTTGTTGTTGTTTGTTGTTGTTGTTGTTTACAATGTTGTTGTTGTTTACATGTTGTTGTTGTTGTTTACAATGTTGTTGTTGTTTACAATGTTGTTGGTGTTTGTGGTTGTTGTTGTTTACAATGTTGTTGTTGTTTACAATGTTGTTGGTGTTTGTTGTTGTTGTTGTTTACAATGTTGTTGTTGTTTACAATGTTGTTGTTGTTTACAATGTTGTTGTTGTTTACAATGTTGTTGTTGTTTGTTGTTGTTGTTGTTTACAATGTTGTTGTTGTTGTTTACATGTTGTTGTTGTTTACAATGTTGTTTTTGTTGTTTACAATGTTGTTGTTGTTGTTTACAATGTTGTTGTTGTTTGTTGTTGTTGTTTACAATGTTGTTGTTTACAATGGTGTTGTTGTTGTTTACAATGTTGTTGTTGTTTACAATGTTGTTGTTGTTGTTTACAATGTTGTTGTTGTTTGTTGTTGTTGTTTACAATGTTGTTGTTTACAATGTTGTTGTTGTTGTTTACAATGTTGTTGTTGTTGTTTACAATGTTGTTGTTGTTGTTTACAATGTTGTTGTTGTTGTTTACAATGTTGTTGTTGTTGTTTACAATGTTGTTGTTGTTGTTTACAATGTTGTTGTTGTTTACAATGTTGTTGTTGTTGTTGTTTACAATGTTGTTGTTGTTGTTTACAATGTTGTTGTTGTTGTTTACAATGTTGTTGTTGTTGTTTACAATGTTGTTGTTGTTGTTTACAATGTTGTTGTTGTTGTTTACAATGTTGTTGTTGTTGTTTACAATGTTGTTGTTGTTGTTTACATGTTGTTGTTGTTTACAATGTTGTTGTTGTTTACAATGTTGTTGTTTACAATGTTGTTGTTGTTGTTTACAATGTTGTTGTTGTTTACAATGTTGTTGTTGTTGTTGTTTACAATGTTGTTGTTGTTTACAATGTTGTTGTTGTTGTTTACAATGTTGTTGTTGTTTACAATGTTGTTGTTGTTTACAATGTTGTTGTTTACAATGTTGTTGTTGTTGTTGTTTACAATGTTGTTGTTGTTGTTTACAATGTTGTTGTTGTTGTTTACAATGTTGTTGTTGTTGTTTACAATGTTGTTGTTGTTGTTTACAATGTTGTTGTTGTTGTTTACAATGTTGTTGTTGTTGTTTACAGTGTTGTTGTTGTTTACAATGTTGTTGTTGTTGTTTACAATGTTGTTGTTGTTGTTGTTTACAATGTTGTTGTTGTTGTTGTTTACAATGTTGTTGTTGTTTACAATGTTGTTGTTGTTGTTTACAATGTTGTTGTTGTTGTTTACAATGTTGTTGTTGTTTACAATGTTGTTGTTTACAATGTTGTTGTTGTTGTTGTTTACAATGTTGTTGTTGTTGTTTACAATGTTGTTGTTGTTGTTTACAATGTTGTTGTTGTTTACAATGTTGTTGTTGTTGTTGTTTACAATGTTGTTGTTGTTGTTTACAATGTTGTTGTTGTTTACAATGTTGTTGTTGTTGTTTACAGTGTTGTTGTTGTTTACAATGTTGTTGTTGTTGTTTACAATGTTGTTGTTGTTGTTTACAATGTTGTTGTTGTTGTTTATAATGTTGTTGTTGTTGTTTACAATGTTGTTGTTGTTTGTTGTTGTTGTTGTTTACAATGTTGTTGGTGTTTGTTGTTGTTGTTGTTTACAATGTTGTTGTTGTTGTTTACAATGTTGTTGTTGTTTACAATGTTGTTGTTGTTTGTTGTTGTTGTTGTTTACAATGTTGTTGTTGTTGTTTACATGTTGTTGTTGTTGTTTACAATGTTGTTGTTGTTGTTTACAATGTTGTTGTTGTTTACATGTTGTTGTTGTTGTTGTTGTTTACAATGTTGTTGTTGTTGTTTACAATGTTGTTGTTGTTGTTTACAATGTTGTTGTTGTTGTTTACAATGTTGTTGTTGTTGTTTACAATGTTGTTGTTGTTGTTTACAATGTTGTTGTTGTTGTTTACAATGTTGTTGTTGTTGTTTACAATGTTGTTGTTGTTGTTTACAATGTTGTTGTTGTTTACAATGTTGTTGTTGTTGTTGTTTACAATGTTGTTGTTGTTGTTGTTTACAATGTTGTTGTTGTTGTTTACATGTTGTTGTTGTTGTTTACAATGTTGTTGTTTACAATGTTGTTGTTGTTGTTTACAATGTTGTTGTTGTTGTTTACAATGTTGTTGTTGTTGTTTACAATGTTGTTGTTGTTTGTTGTTGTTGTTGTTTGTTGTTGTTGTTGTTTACAATGTTGTTGTTTACAATGTTGTTGTTGTTTACAATGTTGTTGTTGTTGTTTACAATGTTGTTGTTGTTGTTGTTTACAATGTTGTTGTTTACAATGTTGTTGGTGTTTGTTGTTGTTGTTTACAATGTTGTTGGTGTTTGTTGTTGTTGTTGTTTACAATGTTGTTGTTGTTTACAATGTTGTTGTTGTTGTTTACAATGTTGTTGTTGTTGTTTACAATGTTGTTGTTGTTTACAATGTTGTTGTTGTTGTTTACAATGTTGGTGTTGTTGTTTACAATGTTGTTGTTGTTGTTTACAATGTTGTTGTTGTTGTTTACAATGTTGTTGTTGTTTACAATGTTGTTGTTGTTGTTTACAATGTTGTTGTTGTTTACAATGTTGTTGTTGTTGTTTGTTGTTGTTGTTGTTTACAATGTTGTTGTTGTTGTTTACAATGTTGTTGTTGTTTACAATGTTGTTGTTTACAATGTTGTTGGTGTTTGTTGTTGTTGTTTACAATGTTGTTGGTGTTTGTTGTTGTTGTTGTTTACAATGTTGTTGTTGTTGTTTACAATGTTGTTGTTGTTGTTTACAATGTTGTTGTTGTTTACAATGTTGTTGTTGTTGTTGTTTACAATGTTGTTGTTGTTGTTGTTTACAATGTTGTTGTTGTTGTTTACAATGTTGTTGTTGTTTACAATGTTGTTGTTGTTGTTTACAATGTTGTTGTTGTTGTTTACAATGTTGTTGTTGTTGTTTACAATGTTGTTGTTGTTGTTTACAATGTTGCTGTTGTTGTTTACAATGTTGTTGTTGTTGTTTACAATGTTGTTGTTGTTGTTGTTGTTTACAATGTTGTTGTTGTTGTTGTTGCTGCCACAGGGAGAGAAGTCGTTCTTCCTGCAGCCCGGGGAGTGGCTGGAGAATGGAATCCAGGAAGTTTACATCCTGGGGGAGGAGGAGGGATTAGTTCTGACCGCTAGGGAAGCGTTCACCCTTACTGACGAGGTGAGTCAGTGAAGAGGTGAGTCAGTGAAGAGGTGAGTGAGTGAGTGAAGAGGTGAGTGAGTGAGTCAGTGAGTGAAGAGGTGAGTGAGTGAGTCAGTGAGTGAGTGAAGAGGTGAGTAAGTGAGTGAGTGAAGAGGTGAGTACACACACTCTCACTGACGAGGTGAGTCAGGGAAGAGGTGAGTCAGTGAGTGAAGAGGTGAGCACACACACACTCTCACTGACGAGGTGAGTCAGTGAGTGAAGAGGTGAGTCAGTGAGTGAAGAGGTGAGTCAGTGAGTGCATGAGTGAGTGAAGAGGTGAGTACACACCCTCACTGACGAGGTGTGTGAGTGATGGGGTGAGTGAAGAGGTGAGTACACACACACACACTCACTGAGGAGGTGTGTGAGTGATGGGGTGAGTGAAGAGGTGAGTACACACACACTCACTGACGAGGTGTGTGAGTGATGGGGTGAGTGAAGAGGTGAGTACACACACACACACTCACTGAGGAGGTGTGTGAGTGATGGGGTGAGTGAAGAGGTGAGTACACACACACACTGACGAGGTGAGTCAGTGAAGAGGTGAGTACACACACACTCTCACTGACGAGGTGAGTCAGTGAAGAGGTGAGTACACACACACACTCTCACTGACGAGGTGAGTGAGTGACGAGGTGAGTGCATGAGTGAGTGAAGAGGTGAGTACACACTCACTCTCACTGACGAGGTGAGTCAGGGAAGAGGTGAGTCAGGGAAGAGGTGAGTCAGTGAGTGAAGAGGTGAGTGAGTGAGTGAAGAGGTGAGTACACACTCTCACTGACGAGGTGTGTGAGTGATGGCGTGAGTGAAGAGGTGAGTACACACACACACACTCACTGACGAGGTGAGTCAGTGAAGAGGTGAGTGCATGAGTGAGTGAAGAGGTGAGTACACACTCACTCTCACTGACGAGGTGAGTCAGGGAAGAGGTGAGTCAGTGAGTGAAGAGGTGAGTGAGTGAGTCAGTGAGTGAGTGAAGAGGTGAGTGAGTGAGTGAAGAGGTGAGTACACACACTCACACTCACTGAGGAGGTGAGTGTGTGTATGAGAGTACACACACACACACTCACCTCGTCAGTGAGTGTGTGTGTGTGTACTCACTGACGAGGTGACAGAGTGTCACACCCCCACCCCCTCCCTCCCCCCTCTCTCCTCCCCCCACCACCCCCCCACCACCCCCCCACTACCCCCCACTACCCCCCCACTACCCCCCACAGTCAGGCGACGTGTTGGAGGAGCGACGTGCGGGGGACCGCTGGATGATCCGTGGGCCGCTGGAATACGTTCCGCCGCTGTGACGACCTCCTCCCTGTCCCTTCCCCCCACCACCACCACCCCCCCACTACCCCCCACTACCCCCCCACTACCCCCCACTACCCCCCACAGTCAGGCGACGTGGTGGAGGAGCGACGTGCGGGGGACCGCTGGATGATCCGGGGGCCGCTGGAATACGTTCCGCCCGTGCAGGTGGAGGTGGTGGCCCGGCGCCACTCCATCCCCATGGACGACAACGAGGGCATCTACGTCAGGGACATCAAGAGCGGGAAGGTGAGTGCGGATATCGGGGGTTGTGAGCTCGGCGGATGTCGGGGGTTGTGAGCTCGGCGGTTGTCGGGGGTTGAGTTTGGCGGATGTCGGGGGTTGAGTTTGGCAGATGTCGGGGGTTGAGTTTGGCGGATGTCGGGGGTTGAGTTTGGCGGATGTCGGGGTTGAGTTTGGCGGATATCGGGGTTGAGTTTGGCGGATATCGGGGTTGAGTTTGGCGGATATCGGGGTTGATCTTGGCGGATATCGGGGTGTGCTCCCCCAGGTGCGTGCGGTGTGTGGCCAGACCTACATGCTGACGCAGGACGAGGCTGAACTCGGCGGTTATCGGGGTTGTGAGCTCGGCGGTTATCGGAGTTGAGTTTGGCGGATATCGGGGTTGTGATCTTGGCTGATATTGGGGTTGTGATCTTGGCGGATATCGGGGTGTGCCCCCCCTCCCCTACCCCAGGTGCGTGCGGTGTGTGGCCAGACCTACATGCTGACGCAGGACGAGGCTGAGCTCGGCGGTTATCGGGGTTGAGTTTGGCGGATATCGGGGTTGAGTTTGGCGGATATCGGGGTTGAGTTTGGCGGATATCGGGGTTGAGTTTGGCGGATGTCGGGGTTGAGTTTGGCGGATATCGGGGTTGAGTTTGGCGGATATCGGGGTTGAGTTTGGCGGATGTCGGGGTTGAGTTTGGCGGATATCGGGGTTGAGTTTGGCGGATATCGGGGTCGAGTTTAACGGATATCGGGGTGTGCCCCTGCCCCAGGTGCGTGCGGTGTGTGGCCAGACCTACATGCTGACGCAGGACGAGGCTGAGCTCGGCGGTTATCGGGGTTGAGTTTGGCGGATATCGGGGTCGAGTTTGGCGGATATCGGGGTTGAGTTTGGCGGATGTCGGGGTTGAGTTTAACGGTTATCGGGGTTGATCTTGGCGGATATCGGGATGTGCCCCTCCCCTACCCCCCCAGGTGCGTGCGGTGTGTGGCCAGACCTACATGCTGACGCAGGACGAGGCTGAGCTCGGCGGATATCGGGGTTGAGTTTGGCGGATATCGGGGTTGAGTTTGGCGGATATCGGGGTTGATCTTGGCGGATATCGGGGTCGAGTTTGGCGGATATCGGGGTTGAGTTTAACGGATATCGGGGTGTGCCCCCCTACCCCAGGTGCGTGCGGTGTGTGGCCAGACCTACAGGACGAGGCTGAGCTCGGCGGTTATCGGGGTTGAGTTTGGCGGATATCGGGGTTGAGTTTGGCGGATATCGGGGTCGAGTTTGGCGGATATCGGGGTTGAGTTTGGCGGATATCGGGGTTGAGTTTAACGGATATCGGGGTTGAGTTTGGCGGATATCGGGGTTGAGTTTAACGGATATCGGGGTGTGCCCCTACCCCAGGTGCGTGCGGTGTGTGGCCAGACCTACATGCTGACGCAGGACGAGGCTGAGCTCGGCGGTTATCGGGGTTGAGTTTGGCGGATATCAGGGTTGATCTTGGCGGATATCGGGGTTGAGTTTGGCGGATATCGGGGTTGAGTTTGGCGGATATCGGGGTTGAGTTTGGCGGATATCGGGGTTGAGTTTGGCGGATATCGGGGGTTGAGTTTGGCGGATATCGGGGTCGAGTTTGGCGGATGTCGGGGTTGAGTTTGGCGGATGTCGGGGTTGAGTTTGGCGGATATCGGGGTTGAGTTTGGCGGATATCGGGGTTGAGTTTGGCGGATATCGGGGTTGAGTTTGGCGGATATCGGGGTTGAGTTTGGCGGTTATCGGGGTTGAGTTTGGCGGATATCGGGGTTGAGTTTAACGGATATCGGGGTTGAGTTTTAGCGGATATCGGGGTTGAGTTTAACGGATATCGGGGTACCCCCCTGCCCCAGGTGCGTGCGGTGTGTGGCCAGACCTACATGCTGACGCAGGACGAGGCTGAGCTCGGCGGATATCGGGGTTGAGTTTGGCGGATATCGGGGTTGAGTTTGGCGGATATCGGGGTTGAGTTTGGCGGATATCGGGGTTGAGTTTGGCGGATATCGGGGTTGAGTTTAACGGATATCGGGGTGTGCCCCTGCCCCAGGTGCGTGCGGTGTGTGGCCAGACCTACATGCTGACGCAGGACGAGGCTGAGCTCGGCGGTTATCGGGGTTGAGTTTGGCGGATATCGGGGTCGAGTTTAACGGTTATCGGGGTTGAGTTTAACGGATATCGGGGTTGAGTTTGGCGGATATCGGGGTGGAGTTTAACGGATATCGGGGTGTGCCCCTGCCCCAGGTGCGTGCGGTGTGTGGCCAGACCTACATGCTGACGCAGGACGAGGCTGAGCTCGGCGGTTATCGGGGTTGAGTTTGGCGGATATCGGGGTTGAGTTTGGCGGATATCGGGGTTGAGTTTGGCGGATATCGGGGTCGAGTTTGGCGGATATCGGGGTTGAGTTTGGTGGATATCGGGGTCGAGTTTAACGGATATCGGGGTGCGCCCCTACCCCAGGTGCGTGCGGTGTGTGGCCAGACCTACATGCTGACGCAGGACGAGGAGCTGTGGGAGAAGTCGTTGCCACCCAACGTGGAGTCGTTGCTCACGTGGTCCCGGGACCCCCTCTCACAGCGGGGGGAGCGGCCCCCCCCCCCACCTGGGTGGTGGTGGGGGGGGGGTTGGTGGGGGGGTGGTGGTGGGTGGTGGGGTTGGTGGGGCACAGAGGGACCGCACCCGAGTGGTCACCTACAGCGTCCCACACAACGCCGCTGTGCAGGTCTACGACTACAAGGAGAAGCGGGCTCGGTGAGGGGGGGGGGGGGTTGGAGAGGGGGGGTGGGGGAGGGGCTAGGGGGGGGGTGGGGGAGGGGCTAGGGGGGGGGTGGGGGAGGGGCTAAGGGGGGTTGGTGGTGGTGGTTTGGGGGGGGAGTGGGGGTTGGAGAGGGGGGGGGCTAGGGGGGGGTTGGAGAGGGGGGGGCTAGGGGGGGTTGGAGGGGGGGGGTTGGAGAGGGGGGGGCTAGGGGGGGGTGGGGGGGGGGGGGTTGGAGAGGGGGGGGCTAGGGGGGGGGGTTGGTGGGGAGGGGGGTTGGAGAGGGGGGGGCTAGGGGGGGGCTTGGTGGGGGAGGGGTTGGAGAGGGGGGGGGCTAGGGGGGGGCTTGGTGGGGGGGGGGGGCTAGAGAGGGGGGGGGGGCTAGAGGAGTGGGGGGTGTGGGTGGGGGTTGTCGTTTGGCCCCTAGATGTTGCAGCTGAGCCCCGATACAAGCAGCTCACTGACGCTCCCCCCCCCCCCCCCCCCCCCCCCTCCCCCCCTCCCCCTCCCCTCCCCCCCCCGCCCCCCCCTCCCCCCCCCAGGGTGGTGTTTGGGCCCGAGATGGTCCGCCTGGACCCCGACGAACACTTCACCGTGCTGTCTCTCTCGGGGGACAAGCCCAAGCGTCCGCACGTCACCCGCTCGCTGTGCCTGCTCCTGGGCCCGGACTTCTGTAGCGACGTCATCACCGTGGAGACCGCCGACCACGCACGCCTACAGCTGCAGCTCTCCTACAACTGGTGGGGGGGAGTGGTGGTGGTGGGGGGAGTGGTGGGGGGGGGGGAGTGGTGGTGGGGGGAGTGGTAGAAGGGGCGTCAGTAGGTCGGTCGCTCGGTTCAGTCGGCGGATTGGTCGGTGGGCCGAATGGTCGCTCGGGCCCGTTCACTCACAGGGGGAGGCGGCTCGGCTCGCTCGCCGCACCGCTCGGCTCGCTCACCGTACCGCTCGCTCACCGCTCGCTCACCGCACCACTCGCTCACCGCACCGCTCGGCTCGCTCACCGCTCGGCTCGCTCGCCGCTCGCTCACCGCACCGCTCGGCTCGCTCACCGCACCGCTCGCTCACCGTACCACTCGGCTCGCTCACCGTACCGCTCGGCTCGCTCACCGCTCGGCTCGCTCACCGCACCGCTCGCTCACCGCTCGCTCACCGTACCGCTCGCTCGCCGTACCGCTCGCTCACCGTACCGCTCGCTCACCGCACCGCTCGCTCACCGCACCGCTCGCTCGCCGTACCGCTCGCTCACCGTACCGCTCGCTCACCGTACCGCTCGCTCGCCGTACCGCTCGCTCACCGCACCGCTCGCTCACCGTACCGCTCGCTCACCGTACCGCTCGCTCACCGTACCGCTCGCTCACCGTACCGCTCGCTCGCCGTACCACTCGCTCACCGTACCACTCGCTCACCGTACCGCTCGCTCACCGTACCACTCGCTCACCATACCACTCGCTCACCGTGCCACTCGCTCACCGCACCACTCGCTCACCGTACCGCTCGCTCACTGCACCACTCGCTCACTGTACCACTCGCTCACCGTACCACTCGCTCACCGTGCCACTCGCTCACCGTACCACTCGCTCACCGTACCACTCTCTCACCGTACCGCTCGCTCACCGTACCACTCGCTCACCGTACCACTCGCTCACCGTACCACTCGCTCACCGCACCACTCGCTCGCTCACCGTACTGCTCGCTCACCGTACCACTCGCTCACCGCACCGCTCGCTCACCGTACCACTCGCTCACCGTACCACTCGCTCACCGTACCACTCGCTCACCGTACCACTCGCTCACCGTACCACTCGCTCACTGCTCGCTCACTGCTCCCTCACCGCACCACTCGCTCACCGCACCACTCGCTCACCGCTCGCTCGCTCGCTCACCACACCGCTCGCTCACCGTACCACTCGCTCGCTCACCGCACCGCTCGCTCACCGCACCGCTTGCTCACCGCTCACCGCTCGCTCACCGTTCGCTCACCACACCCCCTCTCTCTCTCTCTCGGCTCGGCCGTTTCGGCACAAGGCACTTTGAGAGGGCGTCCCTGACCACCGGCTCCGGCACCGGCGGCAAGGAGGAGGGGGAGGGGGGGGAGGGGGAGGGGGAGGGGGGGGCCCCCAGCGAGGCCCCCAGCGAGGCCTCCCTGCGACTCTTCTCAGTGCCCGACTTTGTGGGCGACGCCTGCAAGGCCGTGGCCTCACGAGTGCGAGGATCCGTGGCCTCCGTGCAGTTTGACGACTTCCACAAGGTCGGTGGGGGGGGGGGGGGGGGAGGGGGTGGAGGTGGAGGGGGTGGGGGGGTGGGGGTGGAGGGGGGGTGAGGGAGTGGGAGGGGCGGTGGAGGGGGTGGGGGGTGGAGGGGGGGAGGGAGGGAGGGGGGGGTGGGGGGTGGGAAGGGAGGGGGGGAGGGGGGGTGGGGGAGGGAGGGATGGGGGGTGAGAGGGGTGGAGGAGGAGGGAGGGGAGGTGTGGGGAGGGGCGATGGGGTAGGGGAGGTGGGGGGTGGAGGGGGGGGTGAGGGAGTGGGAGGGGCGGTGGAGGGGGTGGGGGGTGGAGGGGGTGGAGGTGGAGGGGGTGGGGGGAGGGGGAGGGGCGATGGAAGGGGGGGGAGGGGGGAGGGGTAGGGGAGGTGAGGGGTGGAGGGGGGGGGGTGAGGGAGTGGGAGGGGCGGTGGAGGGGGGGAATGAGGGGGGGGTGTAGGGGGAGGGGGTGGGGAGAGGGGGCGGGGTGATTGTGCATCATCATCATCATTGTGCATCATCATCATCATTGTGAATCATCATCATCATCACTGTGAATCATCATCACCATTGTGCATCATCATCACCATTGTCCATCATAATCATCATGTGCATCATCATCATCATTGTGCATCATCATCATCATTGTGAATCATCATCATCATCACTGTGAATCATCATCACCATTGTGCATCATCATCACCATTGTCCATCATAATCATCATGTGCATCATCATCATCATTGTGCATCATCATCATCATTGTGAATCATCATCACCATCATCATCATTGTCCATCATCACCACCATTGTGCATCATCATCATCATTGTGAATCATCATCATCATTGTCCATCATCATCATCATTGTCCATCATCATCATCATCATTGTGAATCATCATCATCATTGTGAATCATCATCATCATTGTCCATCATCATCATCATTGTCCATCATCATCACCATTGTGCATCATCATCACCATTGTGAATCATCATCACCATTGTCCATCATCATCACCATTGTGCATCATCATCACCATTGTGCATCATCATCATCACCATTGTGCATCATCATCACCATTGTGCATCATCATCATCATTGATCATCATCATCTCTCACCATCTCTCACCATCTCTCACCATCTCTCACCATCTCTCACCATCTCTCACCATCTACTCACCATCTCTCACCACCTCTCACCATCTCTCACCATCTCTCACCATTTCTCACCATCTCTCACCACCTCTCACCATCTCTCACCATCTCTCGCCATCTCTCGCCATCTCTCGCCATCTCTCGCCATCTCTCGCCATCTCTCGCCATGTCTCACCATCTCTCACCAACTCTCACCATCTCTCACCACCTCTCACCATCTCTCGCCATCTCTCGCCATCTCTCGCCATCTCTCGCCATCTCTCACCATCTCTCACCATCTCTCACCATCTCTCACCATCTCTCGCCATCTCTCACCATCTCTCACCATCTCTCACCATGTCTCGCCATCTCTCGCCATCTCTCACCATCTCTCACCATCTCTCACCATGTCTCACCATCTCTCACCATCTCTCGCCACCTCTCGCCACCTCTCGCCATCTCTCACCATCTCTCACCATGTCTCACCAGCTCTCACCATCTCTCACCATCTCTCACCATCTCTCACCACCTCTCACCACCTCTCACCATCTCTCACCACCTCTCACCACCTCTCACCATCTCTCACCACCTCTCACCTTCTCTCACAATCTCTCACCATCTCTCACCATCTCTCACCATCTACTCACCATCTCTCACCATCTCTCACCATCTCTCACCATCTCTCACCATCTCTCAACATCTCTCAACATCTCTCACCATCTCTCACCACCTCTCACCACCTCTCACCATCTCTCAACATCTCTCACCATCTCTCACCACCTCTCACCACCTCTCACCACCTCTCACCATCTCTCACCACCTCTCACCATCTCTCACCACCTCTCACCATCTCTCACCATCTCTCACCTTCACCACCACCACCACCACCACCCACCCACCCACCCCTACCCCCCAACACAGAACTCGAGCAAGATCATCCGCACGTCTGTGTTTGGGCTGGACGAGTCCCTGCGGGTCCGCCCTCAGCTGCGCTTCCCGCAGAACGGCCTCATCATCAGCAGCGTCGACGTGCAGGGCGTTGAGCCCGTGGACCAGCGCACTCGCGACGCTCTGCAGAAGAGCGTCCAGCTGGCCATCGAGATCACCACCAACTCGCAGGAAGCCACCGCGCGGTAGGGCGGTGGGAGAGACACGGGGAGGAGGAGGGAGAGACACGGGGAGGGAGAGGGGAGACACGGGGAAGGGGGAGACATGGGGGGGAGAGACACGGGGGTGAGACACGGAGGGGGAGACACGGGGTGAGAGACACGGGGTGGGAGACACGGGGTGAGAGACACGGGGTGAGAGACACGGAGGAGAGGGAGACACGGAGGGTGAGACACGGGAGAGACACGGGGTGAGAGACACGGGGGAGAGGGAGACATGGAGGGTGAGACACGGGGGAGACACGGGGGAGGGTGAGACACGGGGTGAGAGACACGGGGTGAGACACGGGAGAGACACGGGGTGAGAGACACGGGGGAGAGGGAGACATGGAGGGTGAGACATGGGGGAGACACGGGGAAGGGGGAGACACGGGGTGAGAGACACGGTAGGAGAGGGAGACACGGAGGGGGAGACACGGGGGTGAGACACACGGGGAGGGAGAGGGGAGACACGGGGGGGAGACACGGTGTGAGAGACACGGGGTGAGAGACAGGGGGGTAAGACACAGGGGAGGGTGAGACACAGGAGGAGTGAGACACAGGGCGTTGAGCCCGTGGACCAGCGCACTCGCGACGCTCTGCAGAAGAGCGTCCAGCTGGCCATCGAGATCACCACCAACTCGCAGGAAGCCACCGCGCGGTAGGGCGGTGGGAGAGGGGGAGAGGAGGAGGGAGAGACACGGGGAAGGGTGGGGTGAGACACGGGGTGAGAGACACGGGGGGGGAGAGACACGGGGGTGAGACACGGGGTGAGAGACACGGGGTGAGAGACACGGGGGTGAGAGACACGGGGTGAGAGACACGGGGGGTGAGACACGGGGGAGACACGGGGGAGGGTGAGACACGGGGGAGGGTGAGACACGGGGTGAGAGACACAGGGTGAGAGACACGGGGTGAGAGGGAGACACGGAGGGTGAGACACGGGGGAGACACAGGGGAGGGGGAGACACGGGGTGAGAGACACGGGGTGAGAGACACGGGGTGAGAGACACGGGGTGAGAGACACGGGGGAGGGTGAGACACGGGGTGAGAGACACGGGGTGAGACACACGGGGTGAGAGACACGGGGTGAGAGACCCGGGGGGGTGAGACACGGGGTGAGAGACACGGGGTGAGAGACACGGGGTGAGAGACACGGGGGAGGGTGAGACACGGGGTGAGAGACACGGGGTGAGACACACGGGGTGAGAGACACGGGGTGAGAGACACGGGGTGAGAGACACGGGGTGAGAGACACGGAGGAGAGGGAGACACGGAGGGGGAGAGACACGGGGGAGGGTGAGACACGGAGGGGGAGAGACACGGGGTGAGAGACACGGGGTGAGAGACACGGGGTGAGAGACACGGAGGAGAGGGAGACACGGAGGGGGAGACACGGGGGTGAGACACACGGGGAGGGAGAGGGGAGACACGGGGGGGAGACACGGGGGTGAGAGACACGGGGTGAGAGACACGGGGTGAGAGACACGGGGGTGAGAGACACGGGGTGAGAGACACGGGGTGAGAGACACGGGGGAGAGTGAGACACGGGGGGGAGACACGGAGGGGGAGACACGGGGGTGAGAGACACGGGGTGAGAGACACGGGGTGAGAGACACGGGGTGAGAGACACGGGGTGAGAGACACGGAGGGGGGAGACACGGGGGGTGAGAGACACGGGGTGAGAGACACGGGAGGGAGACACGGGGAGGGGGGGGGGGGAGACACGGAGGGGGAGACACAGGGGTTGGAGATGCGGGGGGGGAGAGACAACAGAGGGACTCAACACTCCCTACATCTCACCACGTGTCTCCACCCCACGTGTCTCCTCCCCCCCCCCCGTGTCTCCCCCCCCCGTGTCCCCCCCCTCCCCCCCCCCGTGTCCCCCCCCCCCCGTGTCCCCCCCCCCGTTGTCCCCCCCCCCCTGCCCCCCAGGCACGAGGCTGAGCGTCTGGAGCAGGAGGCCCGTGGACGTTTGGAGCGGCAGCGAATCAGCGACCAGGCGGAGGCTGAGAAGGCGCGGAAGGAGCTGTTACAGCTGCAGGCCTACAGGTGGGGGGGGGGGGGGGGGGGGGGGGGGGGGGGGCGAGGTGGGGGGGAGGTGGGGGGCGAGGTGGGGGGCGAGGTGGAAGGGGGGGGCACGGGGGTTGGTGGAGAGATGGGTGGGGGTGTTGTTTATTGTTGTTGTTGTTTATTGTTGTTGTTGGTTGTTGTTGTTGGTTGTTTATTGTTGTTGTTGGTTGTTGTTGTTGTTTATTGTTGTTGTTGTTTATTGTTGTTGTTGTTTATTGTTGTTGATGTTGATGTTGTTGTTGTTTATTGTTGTTGTTTATTGTTGTTGTTGTTTATTGTTGATGTTGTTGTTTATTGTTGTTGTTGTTTATTGTTGTTGTTTATTGTTGTTGTTTATTGTTGTTGTTTATTGTTGTTGTTGTTGTTTATTGTTGTTGTTACTTATTGTTTATTGTTGTTGTTGTTTATTGTTGTTGTTGTTTATTGTTGTTGTTGTTTATTGTTGTTGTTTATTGTTGTTGTTGTTGTTGTGCTACAGCGCTGCGGTTGAGAGCACAGGCGAGGCGAAGGCTGAGGCGATGTCGAGGGCCGAGTCTGCGAGGATTGAAGGCGAAGCCTCCGTGGAGCAGGCCAAGCTCAGGGCGGAGGCGGCCATCATCGACGCCGTACGCCGCTCACTCACTCACTCACCACTCGCTCACCACTCGCTCACTCACCACTCACTCGCTCACTCACCACTCGCTCACCACTCACTCACTCACCACTACCACTCGCTCACCGCTCGCTCACCACTACCACTCACTCACTCACCACTCACTCACCACTCACTCACCACTCACTCACCACTCGCTCACCACTACCACTCGCTCACCGCTCGCTCACCACTACCACTCGCTCACCGCTCGCTCACCACTACCACTCACTCACCGCTCACTCGCTCACCACTCACTCACCACTCGCTCACCACCACTCACTCACTCACCACTCACTCACCACTCACTCACCGCTCACTCACTCACCACTCACTCACCACTCACTCACCACTCGCTCACCACTCGCTCACCGCTCACTCACCACTCGCTCACCACTCACTCACCACTCGCTCACCACTACCACTCGCTCACCGCTCGCTCACCACTCACTCACCACTCGCTCACCACTCACTCACTCACTCACCACTCGCTCACTCACTCGCTCACCACTCACTCACTCACTCACCACTCGCTCACCACTCACCACTCACTCACTCACTCACCACTCACTCACCACTCACTCACTCACTCACCCACCACTCACTCACCACTCACTCACTCACTCGCTCACCACTCGCTCACCACTCACTCACTCGCTCACCACTCGCTCACTCACCACTCACTCACCACTCACTCACCACTCGCTCACCACTACCACTCGCTCACCGCTCGCTCACCACTCGCTCACCACTACCACTCGCTCACCACTCGCTCACCACTACCACTCACTCACCGCTCACCACTACCACTCACTCACCGCTCACTCACTCACCACTCACTCACCGCTCACTCACTCACTCACCACTCACTCACCACTCGCTCACCACTCGCTCACCACTCACCGCTCGCTCACTCACCACTCACTCACCACTCGCTCGCTCACCACTCACTCACCACTACCACTCACTCACCACTACCACTCGCTCACCACTCGCTCGCTCACCACTCACTCACCGCTCACTCACTCACCGCTCGCTCACCACTCGCTCACTCGCCACTCACTCACTCACTCACCACTCGCTCACTCACCACTCGCCACTCACTCACCACTCACTCACTCACCACTCACTCACCACTCGCTCACCACTCGCTCACTCGCCACTCACTCACTCACTCACCACTCGCTCACTCACCACTCGCCACTCACTCACCACTCACTCACTCACCACTCACTCACCACTCACTCACCACTCACTCACCACTCACTCACCACTCACCACTCACTCACTCACCACTCACTCACCACTCACTCACCACTCACTCACCACTCACCACTCACTCACCACTCACTCGCTCACCCACCACTCACCGCTCACTCACCACTCACTCACTCACCGCTCACTCACTCACCCACCGCTCACCACTCGCTCACTCACCACTCGCCGCTCACTCACCCACCCACCGCTCACTCACCCACCACTCACTCACCCACCACTCACTCACTCACCCACCGCTCACTCACCGCTCACTCACCACTCACCCACCACTCACTCACTCACTACTCACCCACCACTCACTCACTCACCACTCACTCACTCACCACTCGCTCACTCACCACTCGCCACTCACTCACTCACCACTCACTCACAACTCACTCACCGCTCACTCACCGCTCGCTCACCACTACCACTCACTCACCACTCGCCACTCACCACTCACTCACCACTCACTCACCGCTCACTCACTCACCGCTCACTCACTCACCCACCGCTCACCACTCGCTCACTCACCACTCGCCGCTCACTCACCCACCCACCGCTCACTCACCCACCACTCACCACTCACTCACCACTCACTCACCACTCACCACTCACTCACCACTCACTCGCTCACCCACCACTCACCGCTCACTCACCACTCACTCACTCACCGCTCACTCACTCACCCACCGCTCACCACTCGCTCACTCACCACTCGCCGCTCACTCACCCACCCACCGCTCACTCACCCACCACTCACTCACCCACCACTCACTCACTCACCCACCGCTCACTCACCGCTCACTCACCACTCACCCACCACTCACTCACTCACTACTCACCCACCACTCACTCACTCACCACTCACTCACTCACCACTCGCTCACTCACCACTCGCCACTCACTCACTCACCACTCACTCACAACTCACTCACCGCTCACTCACCGCTCGCTCACCACTACCACTCACTCACCACTCGCCACTCACCACTCACTCACCACTCACTCACCGCTCACTCACTCACCGCTCACTCACTCACCCACCGCTCACCACTCGCTCACTCACCACTCGCCGCTCACTCACCCACCCACCGCTCACTCACCCACCACTCACTCACCCACCACTCACTCACTCACCCACCGCTCACTCACCGCTCACTCACCACTCACCCACCACTCACTCACTCACTACTCACCCACCACTCACTCACTCACCACTCACTCACTCACCACTCGCTCACTCACCACTCGCCACTCACTCACTCACCACTCACTCACAACTCACTCACCGCTCACTCACCGCTCGCTCACCACTACCACTCACTCACCACTCGCCACTCACCACTCACTCACCACTCACTCACCGCTCACTCACTCACCGCTCGCTCACCACTCACTCACTCACCCACCGCTCACTCACTCACCCACCGCTCACTCACTCACCCACCGCTCACTCACCGCTCGCTCACCACTCACCACTCCCTCACTCACAACTCACTCACCCACCGCTCACTCACCGCTCACTCACCACTCACCCACCACTCACTCACTCACTACTCACCCACCACTCACTCACTCACCACTCACTCACTCACCACTCGCTCACTCACCACTCGCCACTCACTCACTCACCACTCACTCACAACTCACTCACCGCTCACTCACCGCTCGCTCACCACTACCACTCACTCACCACTCGCCACTCACCACTCACTCACCACTCACTCACCGCTCACTCACTCACCGCTCGCTCACCACTCACTCACTCACCCACCGCTCACTCACTCACCCACCGCTCACTCACTCACCCACCGCTCACTCACCGCTCGCTCACCACTCACCACTCCCTCACTCACCACTCACCCACCCACCGCTCACCACTCGCTCACTCACCACTCGCCACTCACTCACTCACTCACCACTCACTCACCACTCGTTCACCGCTCGCTCACCACTCGTTCACCACTCGCTCGCTCACCACTCGCTTGCTCACCACTCGCTCACCACTCGCTCACCACTCGCTCACTCACCACTCGCCACTCACTCACTCACCACTCACTCACAACTCACTCACCGCTCACTCACCGCTCGCTCACCACTACCACTCACTCACCACTCGCCACTCACCACTCACTCACCACTCACTCACCGCTCACTCACTCACCGCTCGCTCACCACTCACTCACTCACCCACCGCTCACTCACTCACCCACCGCTCACTCACTCACCCACCGCTCACTCACCGCTCGCTCACCACTCACCACTCCCTCACTCACCACTCACCCACCCACCGCTCACCACTCGCTCACTCACCACTCGCCACTCACTCACTCACTCACCACTCACTCACCACTCGTTCACCGCTCGCTCACCGCTCGTTCACCACTCGCTCGCTCACCACTCGCTTGCTCACCACTCACTCACCACTCGCTTGCTCACCACTCGCTCACCACTCGCTCAGCACTCGCTCACCACTCACTCGCTCACCACTCGCTCACCGCTCGCTCCTTGCACGGCGCGCGGGCGTAGGCCCCGAAGCCTCCCCCCGGCCCTAACGCCCGGCCCGCGGCTCGGAAACGCCGACAAAATTCGGCGTTCGAGCGCCCTCTCTGTCACCAAATCTCCCTCGCTGTCACCAAATCTCCCTCGCTGTCACCAAATCTCCCTCGCTGTCACCAAATCTCCCTCTCTGTCACCAAATCTCCCTCGCTGTCACCAAATCTCCCTCGCTGTCACCAAATCTCCCTCGCTGTCACCAAATCTCCCTCGCTGTCACCAAATCTCCCTCGCTGTCACCAAATCTCCCTCGCTGTCACCAAATCTCCCTCGCTGTCACCAAATCTCCCTCGCTGTCACCAAATCTCCCTCGCTGTCACCAAATCTCCCTCGCTGTCACCAAATCTCCCTCGCTGTCACCAAATCTCCCTCGCTGTCACCAAATCTCCCTCGCTGTCACCAAATCTCCCTCGCTGTCACCAAATCTCCCTCGCTGTCACCAAATCTCCCTCGCTGTCACCAAATCTCCCTCGCTGTCACCAAATCTCCCTCGCTGTCACCAAATCTCCCTCGCTGTCACCAAATCTCCCTCGCTGTCACCAAATCTCCCTCGCTGTCACCAAATCTCCCTCGCTGTCACCAAATCTCCCTCGCTGTCACCAAATCTCCCTCGCTGTCACCAAATCTCCCTCGCTGTCACCAAATCTCCCTCTCTGTCACCAAATCTCCCTCTCTGTCACCAAATCTCCCTCGCTGTCACCAAATCTCCCTCAGCTGTCACCAAATCTCCCTCAGCTGTCACCAAATCTCCCTCAGCTGTCACCAAATCTCCCTCAGCTGTCACCAAATCTCCCTCAGCTGTCACCAAATCTCCCTCAGCTGTCACCAAATCTCCCTCAGCTGTCACCAAATCTCCCTCAGCTGTCACCAAATCTCCCTCAGCTGTCACCAAATCTCCCTCAGCTGTCACCAAATCTCCCTCAGCTGTCACCAAATCTCCCTCGCTGTCACCAAATCTCCCTCAGCTGTCACCAAATCTCCCTCAGCTGTCACCAAATCTCCCTCAGCTGTCACCAAATCCCCCCTTCGCCAGGCCTCGGAGCTGGACCGCCTCCGCAAGGCGCGTGAGGCCGAGCTGGAGTTCACGCGTGTCAGGGACGAGTTGGAGATCGCCCGCGCAAGGGCCCTGGCAGCCATCGAGGTTCAGAAGTTCCAGGACTCGGTGCAGGCCCTCGGCACGGAGACCATCAGGGCCATCGCCACGGCCGGGCCGGACGCGCAGGTGAGTTGTTGGCGTGGTGAGGGTGGTGAGCGAAGGTGGGGGGGGTGGGGGGGGTGAGCGAGGGGGTGGGGGGGGGTGAGCGAGGGGGGGGGGGGTGAGCGGTGGTGCAGCGGATCAGCGCATCGCCGAGTTCAATTCCCGTTGGAGGCCAACGTCACCGGTACCCGGGGGCCCTCCCCTAGGTCGGGCCAATTGGCAAGGGTTTTGCCGGCGGCGGGCGTTTGCGACCGCGTTTCTATTCAGGTTTCCCGCTAATGCCCAAAACAACAACAAAAACAACAACAACAGCAACCCTCCAAGGCCCTCTACCGTGTCGTTTAACAAGACTGTCTTTCGCGCGGCTGGCATTTCATCGGGACCGATGGTACCGGCCGCCCTAGGTCATAATCTCGTTGGCGTTATCCGGGGAGCCTCACGTTTTGTTTAGCTTGCTAGGTTTCAGTTGAACACGTGGGGGAGGCTTTCGCGACCGATATTATTCGTGAAGAAAGGTGGTCTTTTGGGTTAGACCGCGTCATTTATGGATGTGTCGTAAACCCTCCACCACCCGACGCGGCCAGTCGGCGAAATATGAAGCGTCGCGTTGACACAAGAGGAAATTAGTTCACTACTTTATTAGCCCCGCACACCGGTGGTGTTGTCGAAGAGCGAATCCGCAACATTTACAGCTTGAGTAGTACTGTGACGTTTCGCTGGTCATTGCATCCAGCGAATTTGCCCGATGATGCTGGGGATAGTAAATAGGTTTTTACCCTTTTAACTGGCACGAAAAACTGACACCTTTATTCAAGGCGTCGTGTCTGCAATGACCACAGCACAAGCAGTCAAAATGCAAACAAAAAGAGACAACTCTGATAATGATAATATTGGCACTGTCCTTGAATTTGATTGGTCCACACCCGAGACGGCTTTTCTTAGAGTCCCTTTAGTCTCCACTGGTGTTGGACCAGAAGACGCCAAAAGGCGTACAACTCAAAAACAGCGCACTATCAGAGTTATTGAGGGCTCGGGGTGAGAATTTACATTATGAGACCTCCTTTGCCAGTAACAAGATATAGTAATAGGTTTTTACCCTTTTAACTGGCACAAAAACTGACACCTTTATTCAAGGCATCATGTCTGCAATGACCACAACACAAGCAGTCAAAATGCAAACAAAAAGAGACAACTCTGATAATGATAATATTGGCACTGTCCTTGAATTTGATTGGTCCACACCTGAGACGGCTTTTCTTAGAGCCCCTTTAGTCTCTCCACTGGTGTTGGACCAGAAGACGCCAAAAGGCGTACAACTCAAACACAGCGCACTATCAGAGTTATTGAGGGCTCGGGGTGAGCATTTACATTATGAGACCTCCTTTGCCAGTAACAAGATATAGTAATAGGTTTTTACGCTTTTAACTTGCACGAAAAACTGACACCTTTATTCAAGGCATCGTGTTTGCAATAGCCACAACACAAGCAGTCAAAATGCAAACAAAAATAGACAACGCTGATAATGATAATATTGGCACTGTCCTTGAATTTGATTGGTCCACACCCGAGACGGCTTTTCTTAGAGCCCCTTTAGTCTCTCCACTGGTGTTGGACCAGAAGACGCCAAAAGGCGTCTTCTTTTTGCGCCAGTTAAAAGGGTAAAACCTATTACTATATCTTGTTACTGGCAAAGGGGAGGTCTCACGATGCTGGGGATGCAATGACCAGCGAAACGTCACAGTACTACTCAAACTGTAAATGTTGTGGATTCGCTCTTCAACAACAGGACCCTGGTTTGGGGAGCTAATAAAGTAGTGAACTAATTTGTCTTCTTATTCTTAGACTCTTTCGGTAAAGTCACGTCGAAGGGAAACAATAAAATAATAAAATCTATATGTAAAACAATAAAAATTCTCACGACGTTTCGACCATCATTAATACATTAATGCACATGTTACGGTCGAAACGCCGTGAGAATTTTTATTGTTTTATATATAAATGTTATTACTTTATTGTTTCCCTTCAACGTGGTGACTTTACCGAAAGAGCTAAGAATATGAATTACTGCAGTCCACGAAAGCTTTAAATCAAAATTTAATTTGCCTTCTGTCAACGCGACACTTTATATTTTGCCCATTGGCCGTGTCCCGGGTAGGGTTGGCGGGGGGGGTTACGACACATTTATAAATAAACGCGATCTAACCCAAAGACAACCTTCGTTATTAATTGCTCGATTCCGTTGGCACGGGGGGCGGGCGGGCGGGCGGGCGGGCGGGCGTTGTTTTTTCATAATAAAGGTTGTTTTTGGGTTAGATCGCGCTTATTTATAAATGTGTCGTGACCCTCCACCACCCGGACACGGCCAATCAGCAATAAAAATAAAGTGTCACGTTGACAAAAAGACAAAAATAGTTCACCACTTTAGCCCACCGGTGTGTTGAAGAGTGAATCTCTACAACATTTACAGTTTGAGTTGTACAGTGACGTTTCGCTGGTAAATACATCCAGCATCATCATCGGGCAATTCGCATTCAGCATCACCGGGCGAATTTGCCCGATGATGCTGGATGTATTCTTAGTTTTTTTCGGTAAAGTCACGTTGAAGAGAAACAACAAAATAATAAAAAATATATATAAAACAATAATATTTTGTTGTTTCTCTTCAACGTGGTGACTTTACCGAAAAAACTAAGAATATGAATTACTGCAGTCACGAAAGCTTTAAGTCAAAAGATGCTGGATGTATTTACCAGCGAAACGTCACAGTACTCAAACTGTAAATGTGGATTCACTCTTCAACACACCGGTGGGCTAAAGTAAGTGAACTATTTTTGTCTTTTGGTCAACGTGACACTTTTTTTTTTGTTTGTTTGCTGATTGGCCGTGTCCGGGTGGTGGACGGTTACGACACATTTATAAATAAACGCGATCTAACCCAAAAAACAACCTTTATTGTGAATAATATTGGTCGCGAAAGCCTGGGCGTTGTTTTGCACGACGCCCAGAGCCCCCCATCCTAAAGGGCCCCCCCTCCCCCGCCGGTGTTGTCGGCTTTCGCCTGGCCAATCCTCCGGTACGGGCGTACCTGCCGGGAGAACTGACATCAGGCGAACGAGCGAGCAGGTGACCTTAATCCTCGTCCCCACCCTCCCCTTCCCCGGCCCCGCCTGTCCAGGTGAAGCTCCTCCAGTCGCTGGGCCTGCAGTCGACGCTCATCACCGACGGCTCGAACCCCATCAACCTCTTCACCACCGCCGCGGGCCTCATAGGAGGCCTGCCGGCCATCGCCCACCAACAGTCGCAATGAGCGACCCGCCCTCCGACCCCCGCCCGGCAGCCAATCACGACGTGGGGATGGAGTTGGGGTGGGAGGGGGTGGGGGGGTGGGGAGTTTGAAGGAGGGCTTCGGCCAATCGGGGCTGGGGTAGAGGGGTCGAAATAGGGAAATTTGGCGGGGGGGAAATTTAAGTGGCCGCCGGCAAATAGCACAGCAACAGTCGCCCCGGGTGCACCCGCCGCCCATTCCCTGCCCCCATCCCGTCCGGCAGCCAATGACGGCGCGGGGCAGCGGGTGGATGAGGTCGGGCTCGGCCAATCAGGCTGGTTCCAGGGGGAAAACCTGAGGGGAAATTTGGCGGGGAAAATTTAAATGGCCGTTGGCAATCGCCCAGCAACAGTCGCACCGGGTGCCCCGCCCCCATTCCCCACCCCGTCCAGTAGCCAATCACGGCGCGGGGCAGCGGGTGGATGAGGTCGGGCTCGGCCAATCAGGTTGGTTCCAGGGGGAAAACCTGAGGGGAAATTTGGCGGGAAAATTAAAATGGCCGTTGGCAATCGCCCAGCAACAGTCGCACCGGGTGCCTGCCCCCATTCCCCACCCCGTCCGGTAGCCAATCACGGCGCGGGGCAGCGGGTGGATGAGGTCGGGCTCGGCCAATCAGGCTGGTGCAGGGGGAAAACCTGAGGGGAAATTTGGCGGGAAAATTAAAATGGCCTTTGGCAATCGCCCAGCAACAGTCGCACCGGGTGCCCCGCCCCCACCCCACTCCATCCGGTAGCCAATCACGGCGCGGGGCAGCGGGTGGATGAGGTCGGGCTCGGCCAATCAGGCTGGTTCCAGGGGGAAAACCTGAGGGGAAATTTGGCGGGAAAATTAAAATGGCCGTTGGCAATCGCCCAGCAACAGTCTCACCGGGTGCTCCGCCCCCATTCCCCACCGCGTCCGGTAGCCAATCACGGCGCGGGGCAGCGGGTGGATGAGGTCGGGCTCGGCCAATCAGACTGGTTCCAGGGGGAGAACCTGAGGGGAAATTTGGCAGGGAAAATTAAAATGGCCGTTGGCAATCGCCCAGCAACAGTCGCACCGGGTGCCCCGCCCCCATTCCCCACCCCGTCCGGTAGCCAATCACGGCGCTGGGCAGCGGGTGGATGAGGTCGGGCTCGGCCAATCCGGGCTGACGAGAGTAAAATGTTGTCGGCGGCCTTGTTTGCTTTTGTGGTGTTTGTTGTGCCCCCCTTTTGGTGGTTGATTTAAATCTTTGTTTTGTTATTATTTAGTCACGAGGTGGGAATGTTTGTTTTTGGAGGTGAAAAGTAAACAATCTTTTGAGGGAGGAGGGGGGGGAAATGTCTTATTCTTCTTATTATTGTTATATTTTGAGTGAGGGAAACCTTTAATGACTTTCGTTTGTTTGTTTAAGAGACTTTGGTGGGTTAAATATTGACGGCTGTTTAAAGCGGGCAGCAGCGAGAAAGTGACCTTTGAACCCGGAGAGTTCCATAGAGGCCCATACAGACACACACAAGAGACTCATAGAGATGCATAGAGACCCATACAGACACACAGAGACTCATAGAGATGCATAGAGACTCATAGAGATGCATAGAGACTCATAGAGACTCGTACAGACACAGAGACCCATAGAGATACATAGAGACTCATAGACATGCATAGATACTCATAGAGTTCCATAGAGGTCCATATAGACACACACAGAGACTCATTGAGATACATAGAGATGCATAGAAACACACAGAGACTCATAGAGATGCATAGAGACTCCTAGAGATGCATAGAGACTCAGAGACACACAGAGACTCATAGAGATGCATAGAGATTCATAGAGTTCCATAGAGACTCATAGAGATACATAGACCCATACAGACACACAGAGACCCATAGAGATACATAGAGACTCATAGACATGCACAGAGACTCATAGAGATGCATAGAGACCCACAGAGATGTGTAGTGGGTTCCAGGACACGGAGACGTCAGAGTAGAAGCAGCACTATTTATTTAAATAGTGCTGCTTCTACTCTGCAGCGGCCCCTCCACCCGTGAAACTCAGGAACACACACACCACCCCAGGCTCTCTCTAAAGCCTAAGCTCTAGGCCCCCAGTTCCTCCTCCTGCTAGGGCTCTAAGGGAGGCTATCAGATCATCCGGCCCTGGTTAGGCACAGATCTGGGCACCCCGCCGACCGGACCGGCCCTTAGAAGGCTCTGGGGCCGCACCACCGGTCTGCTGTGACCGCTGCCCTGAGAAGGGGCAGCGGTCACAGGAGTCCCAGGGTCTCGCCTAGCTGCCCTTCTTTCTTCACCGGTTGCTTCAGCCTCGGGCCCCAACGCTCTGCCCCCGAGCTGCCTGGCTCCCCGCACTTTATACCCACTGGAGCCTTAGCGGACGTTGTTGTAGCCACCAAGGTGTGGGTGAACCACAGCTTCCCGTGCCATTGTGTTTACTCGCCATAGCACCCCTACAGATGCATAGAGACCCATACAGACACACAGAGACTCATAGACATGCATAGAGACTCATAGAGACTCAGAGACTCATAGAGACCCATACAGACACACAGAGACTCATAGACATGCATAGAGACTCATAGAGATGCATAGAGACTCAGAGACTCATAGAGACCCATACAGACAGAGACTCATAAACATGCATAGAGACTCATAGAGATGCATAGAGACTCATAGAGATGCATAGAGGCCCATACAGACACACACAGAGACCCATAGAGATACATAGAGACTCATAGACATGCATAGATACTCATAGAGTTCCATAGAGGTCCATACAGACACACACAGAGACTCATACAGACACACAGAGACTCATAGAGATGCATAGAGACAAATAGAGTTCCATAGAGACTCATAGAGATACATAGAGACTCATACAGACACACAGAGACTCATAGAGATACATAGAGACCCATACAGACTCATAGAGACTCCTAGAGATACATAGAGATGCATAGAGACCCATACAGACACAGAGACTCATCGAGATGCATAGAGACTCATAGACTCATACAGACACACAGAGACTCATAGATGCATAGAGACTCAGAGTTCCATAGAGACTCATAGAGATACATAGAGACCCATACAGACACACAGAGACCCATAGAGTTCCATAGAGGCCCATACAGACACACAGAGGCCCATAGAGATGCATAGAGACCCATAGAGATGCATAGAGACTCATAGAGATGCATAGACTCATAGAGATGCATAGAGACCCATACAGACACACAGACTCATAGACATGCATAGAGACTCATAGAGATGCATAGCGACTCAGAGATGCATAGAGGCCCATACAGACACACACAGAGACCCATAGAGATACATAGAGACTCATAGACATGCATAGATACTCATAGAGTTCCATAGAGGTCCATACAGACACACACAGAGACTCATACAGACACACAGAGACTCATAGAGATGCATAGAGACAAATAGAGTTCCATAGAGACTCATAGAGATACATAGAGACTCATACAGACACACAGAGACTCATAGAGATACATAGAGACCCATACAGACTCATAGAGACTCCTAGAGATACATAGAGATGCATAGAGACCCATACAGACACAGAGACTCATCGAGATGCATAGAGACTCATAGACTCATACAGACACACAGAGACTCATAGATGCATAGAGACTCAGAGTTCCATAGAGACTCGTAGAGATACATAGAGACCCATACAGACACACAGAGACCCATAGAGTTCCATAGAGGCCCATACAGACACACAGAGGCCCATAGAGATGCATAGAGACCCATAGAGATGCATAGAGACTCATAGAGATGCATAGAGACTCGGAGAGTTCCATAGAAACCCAAACAGACACACAAAGACTCATAGAGATACATAGAGACCCATAGAGACACAGAGACTCATAGAGATACATACAGACACACACAGAGACTCATAGAGATACATAGAGACTCATATAGTTCCATAGAGGCCCATACAGACACAGAGACTCGTAGAGTTCCATAGAGGCCCATACAGACACACACAGAGACCCATAGAGACTCATAGACATGCATAGAGACCAATAGAGACTCGTAGAGATGCATACAGACACACAGGCCCATAGAGATACATAGAGACTCATAGACATGCATAGAGACCCATACAGACACACAGAGACTCATAGAGATACATAGAGACCCATACAGACACACACAGAGACTCATAGAGATACATAGAGACTCATATAGTTCCATAGAGGCCCATACAGACACAGAGACTCGGAGAGTTCCATAGAGACCCATACAGACACACACAGAGACCCATAGAGACTCATAGAGATGCATACAGACACACAGAGACCCATAGAGATACATAGAGACTCATAGACATGCATAGAGACCCATACAGACACACATAGAGACTCATAGACATGCATAGAGACCCATACAGAGACCCATAGAAACTCATAGAGATGCATAGAGATGCATACAGACACACAGCGACCCATAGACATGCATAGAGACCCATACAGACACACACAGAGACTCATACATGCATATAGACTCATAGAGATACATAGAGACTCATAGAGTTCCATAGAGGCCCATACAGACACACACAGAGACTCATAGAGATAGATAGAGACTCATACATGCATATAGACTTATAGAGATGCATAGAGACTCATAGAGATGCATAGAGACCCATACAGACAGAGACTCATAAACATGCATAGAGACTCATAGAGATGCATAGAGACTCATAGAGACTCGTAGAGATGCATAGAGACTCAGAGAGACTCATAGAGATGCATGGAGACGCATAGAGATACATAGAGACTCATAGAGATATATAGAGACTCATAGAGATGCATGGAGACTCAGAGATGCAGAGAGACTCATAGAGATCTATAGAGACTCATAGATATGCATAGAGACTCATAGAGATGCATAGAGACTCGTAGAGATGCATAGAGACCCATACAGATACATAGAGATGCATAGAGACTCATAGAGATGCATAGAGACCCATGCAGACACACACAGAGACTCATAGAGACTCATAGAGACCCATACAGACAGACTCATAAAC